AGAACACTTGGTAAATGTGAAAAATATAAATCGTTTTAATGCAAAACATATGTTAATTAATTGTGATATTTTTATATTTTTGTCTATGACACTTCTAGGTTAACACTTTTATTGTGGAAAAAGTACAAGAAAATTAGGTTCATTTCCGTGTGAACTTGCCCTTTAATGTTTCAGATTCAGTTGTGAGCACCACGTCCTATGATGAGTTGGTCCTCTATTGTTTCAGCTCTGATTGTGATGCGCCACTTCCTATAATGAGTTGTTCTCATATGTTTCAGATCGAGTTGTGACGCACCACTTCCTACAGGTATGAGCTGGGTTTTTGTAATGATTTATGTCCAGTTGAGACGCATCACTAAGACGAAGCAGATTATTTTTCCAGACAGAAGCATTTTCTCAAGATTACGGTGTAAACTCGGCGCTACTTTAACTCCATAAAGTTTATATAGTCACAGTGACTTTGACTGAATGTCAGCATGTCCTTCTACAATTGTAGGTTATGCCTAGACGACCAAGGTGCCTGGACATGGGTTACACATTGCAACTGTCCGTGGTCATGTGGGCTCCATTCTGAGAAAGCCATGTTATGCTGGACTTTCCCTGTGAAGAATGTGGTCAGTAGATATAGGGGTGTATTTTGCTGGTCCGAATGTTCCGAGTAGTAGGGAAAGTATAACCTTCCGCATTCATGGTGAAGTGTAAGAATGAGCTGCGGGTGCTGTCCACACCCAATGATACCCCAGTTACCGTAGAAAGGCAGTTGTAGTGTCAGCTGAGGTCGTCTGGAAGTCTGATCTCTAGAGCGCATATACTAATAGATATTAAAAAGCTCCCAGCTTCAGGTTAATGGAAGAGATACGCTGTCTCCGTTTGACCATTAATTTAGCACAATATTCAGTGCAAAGATTTGGAGTTCTGTGGTGTGTACCCGTTCCGGCAAGTAACGTTTGTAGAGGTTTATAACAATTTGCGTATCACTACCAAAGGAGCATTGTGAAAACAAAATCAAACCTCTATCGTCCAAATTGAAATGTTCCACCTCCAGTAACGACGATTTAGTCTTTTAATGTTTTAGATCCAGTTCAGAGGTGCAAAATCCTATTTTAATGAGTTGGTCTTTCAGTGTTTCAGATCAATTTGAGAAGCGCCAATTCCTGGTATAATGAGTTGGTCTTTTATGTTTCAGCTCCGGTTGTGACACGCCACTTCATATAATGAATTGGTCTCCAGTTTTTTTCAGCTGCAGTTGTGATGAACCACTTCATTTAATTAGAAGCTCTCTAATGTTTCATCTCCAGTTGTGACGCACCACTTCATAACACCCGTGAAGATCCGGGGTAGAATAGATCTTCAGCAACCCATACTTGCCATAAAAGGTGACTATGCTTGTCGTAAGAGGCGACTAACGGGATCGAGTGGTCAGGCTCGCTGACTTGATTGATGAATGCCATCGACCCTAATTGCGTTGATCGATGGTTATGATGTCAATCACTGGATTGTCTGTTCCAGACTTGATTATTTACAGACCGCCGTCATATTGCTGGAATATTGCTGACGTCACCTCAAGTTGTGAGCACCGTTTCCTATAATCAATTGGTCTCTCGCCTTTCAGCTACAGATGTGAAGGGCCACTTCATATAATGAGGTGATCTCAAATGTTTCAGCTCCAATTGGGAGCACCACTTCCTATAATGAGTTGGTCTCAAATGTTACAGCTCCTATTGTGATGTTCCACTTTATATAACCAGTTGGTCTCTCGCCTTTCAGCTCCAGTTGTGAAGGGCCACTTCATATAATGAGGTGATCTCAAATGTTTCAGCTCCAGTTGTGAGCACCACTTCATATAATGAGTTGGTCTCTAATGTTTCAGGTCCAGTTGGGAGCACCACTTCCTATGATGAGTTGGTCTACAACGTTTCCGCTCTGATTGTTATGCGCCACTTCCTATTATGAGTAGTTCTCTAATGTTTCATGTCCAGTTGTGATGTGCCACTTCATATAATTAATTGGCCTCTCACCTTTCATCTCTAGTTGTGAGCACCGCTACCTGTAATGAGTTGGTCTCATATGTTTCAGATCCAGTTGTGGCGCGTTGTGACGCTGTCTCCGTTTGACCATTAATTTAGCACAATAGTCAGTGCAAAGATTTGGAGTAATGGACCTCTGTTGTGTGTACCCGTTCCGGCAAGTAACGTTTGTAGAGGTTTATAACAATTTGCGTATCACTACCAAAGGAGCATTGTGAAAACAAAATCATACTCTATAGTCTATATTGAAATGTTCCACCTCCAGTAACGACGATTTAGTCTTTTAATGTGTTAGATCCAGTTCAGACGTGCAAAGTCATATTTTAATGAGTTGGTCTTTTCAGATCAATTTGAGAAGCGCCACTTCCTGGTATAATGAGTTGGTCTTTTATGTTTCAGCTCCGGTGGTGACACGCCACTTCATATAATGACTTGTTCTCATGTTTCAGCTCCGATTGTGACGTGCCGCTTCATATAATGATTTTGGTCACTAGTTTTTCAGCTGCAGTTGTGATGAACCACTTCATTTAATTAGAAGCTCTCCAATGTTTCACCTCCAGTTGTGACGCACCACTTCAAAACATCCGTGAAGATCCGGGGTAGAATAGGTCTCCAGCAACCCATACTTGCCATAAAAGGCGACTATGTTTGTCGTAAGAGGCGACTTATGGGATCGAGTGGTCAGGCTTGCTGACATGATTGATGAATGTCATCGACCCCAATTGCGTGAGCCGATGGTTATGATGTCAATCACTGAATTATCTGGTCCAAACTCGATTATTTACAGACCGCCGTCGCTAGCCCGTCTAACGTAAGGGCAAGCGCAGAACCATTATCTGGGATGCTGAGAACACCACAACCCATGTGTAAAAAAAGCTTTGAAATTCCTCCAACATTTGAGAGAATTACCTCGTCGCATCCGTATCACGCATTCATGCGCGGGGCTTTTGACATTCAATGTGTACAGTGTAGTACAGTGGAATATCTGCTTTGACTTTATTGCGTCATTGTTTTGACATCAGGGCGAAATGAACGTTTTACTTGTTGTGGGGCCGAAAGTGAGTCTGAGTTTCACAGAGGCGTTTTTTAGGATTAATATAACAGAGGATAACAAATGTAAATAGAATCAATATTCAAAGAAGTATTATTATGAATCATAGTATATTCGGCACAATTTATATCGCTTTTTATTACAAATGCTGATTAGTCAAAGTCCTGTCTCGACAGATTCTACTGTGCACGGTAATATTTTATGAGTGAAGGAAATATGTCCATGATAGCAGTAAGGTAGCCCAGTGTCTCAATCAAGTTTTGACACGTCACGCCGAAACGACCGAGTTCGATTCCTTACATCTGGCTAATGTTTCGTATGAAGCCCGTTCCTACAGTCCTCTACCGCGAAGCGTATAACACCATACCCATGCATTTAGTGCACACACAGCTCAAACTATGGTGTACATAATAGACTAACATATAGTCTCTGACATGAACATATGGTACAGAAAAAAACAGTTGTTCAGTTACCTTAATAAAAATATTTAAAAAAGGGAGCCCAGTGATTCTCTTCATTTCCTGATACTGCAGTATTCTAGACTTGCCAAGCATTATAGACTTGCATGTGCTGTAGTTGATATATTTGTATCAGGGTCTGTAAGACAGATTAGGTACATAATAACATAGACATTTATTTAATAACAGAATAATAAACGCATATAATATATCCATTATAATTAAAAATGTGTTTTGGGTACACTTGCTTCGAGTAGCCACGACACCAGCAAATATTAACACACTCGGGGTACTGTGACGCGCAATCAAAGTAAGTCGCCGCTTACGACAAGCACAGGTTACTTGAGGCAACGCCTACTTCGGACTCCCCATAGGGTGACATTATTATTTAAGGCCATTGACACATTTTTGTTTGTTTTTCAACGCCGCACTCAGCAATATTCCACGGTCCACAGACCACGGGTCTGTAAATAATCGAGTCTGCACCAGACAATTCTGTGATTGACATCGTGAGCATCGATCACGCAAATGGGATACAATGACATGCATCCCGTTAGCATGGGTTGTTGAAAACAGGTACTAAAATTATATGAATGGATCACTGGAAAACGACAGAGATAAACATGCCATTGTAGAAGTTCAAATATACCACTTCTCTATTATATTTTATTACCCACATGGACAGGCTCGCTGACTTGGTTGATACATGTCATCGATCCCAATTGCGTGGATCGATGCTCATGATATTAATCACTGGTTTGAGGGTCCAGATTCGATTTTTTACAGATCGCCGTCATATAGCTGGAATATTACTGAGTGCGGCGTTAAACAAGCAAACAAGCAAACAAACAAACAAAGCAACAAACAAACTGAAGCCTGAAAGCGAGAGCAAGCCTCGGAGTTTTTCCACTTTTATCAACTCGTGTTGATATGTTTGATATCAAAAGACACTCGGGTGACATTCTCTCTCTATATATAGCGTTGTTGATGCAATGTGGACACTGTATGAATAATTGAGCATTCAAAAAGGTCTCACTTAATGGATTCTAAAAGACCAACTTGTTTCTTCTCTGCAGTTTTTACTAAGTTATGAATAACAACGAAGTTATTATATTTGCTCGATCGGGCAACAAACTGTATATCATGCGTTTCGTTTATTGATAACGGGATAATTAGGCCAGTAGGAAAATCCCCTAATTCAATTACACCTCGACATTTTCGATAACAGAATATGTATATGATTCATTTTAACATGAAATTTGTCTGTTATCTAAAATGTCTAGGTATTTCTACTAGGTATTTTCAATATTTCTACTGGCCTAAAACATTATATCCTTAATCCGCTTTCGTGAGAGATTTCGCATTTTGTACTAAGTGAAAGTAATTGTTTGAAATATTTTATGACGTATAAGATGGCAAGTGTACATTCTCAGAAAAGTCACATGTGTCATGTTCGTAAGACAACTTAAATCCTAGTTTACTGGTTCCCTTTTCAATGTCAATGCAGTCTGCGGTATATTAGAGTGAGCTCGTGTTTGTACACAATGACTTCTCCACGGAAAGGGGGGCAACTCTAGTGAAAGATGGCGCGAAAATGGGCTTGAATTGCTGAGTTTCGAGAATTTGACTGAAACTAAAATGCGAGGATTTGTCATTCATAAACGGTTTCTGCATTTATACGCAGGATGCAAGAGGAAGGTAACTGTTGTTGTAAGAAAGCCTGACGAATTGCCACAAATGAATAACAATCAAACAAATCAAAACGTGGAAGCTTCCAATTTTGAATATGGCCACACCCACTATTTACAAAAATAACACACTGAGTGCAGAGCCGATTGAAGGCATTCACCTGTGCACCGTGATACTAAACTCAGTAACACACAATATACTTCATCCTGTATTGTTATTATCAGCACATCAAGTGGCTGAGGAGGTGTCTAACAGCGACATCCTCCCAGTCCCACACTGTAGCCCAGTCACTATAACACAATCGGACAGTGTCAAAGAGCGGATTACCAGCTAGAGCGAAAGACAGGGCGAGTTTCACCCGACTCGCCTAAAAAAATCTGACCCGACTCGCCAAAAAAATATATATAATATTTTGGTATGCGTTTGGCAAATATAACTTAGGTTAGGCCTAATGATCACAATTACTAGGGTAGTATATTCATACACAAGTATGGAAATAATATTAAAAAAACAACGTATCATCCAAAGAATTTGTCTTCTGTCATATTTACATCTGAACTTCATGTTGAGTCAGTGAGTCAGAGCCCAGTCGGTTACACTATTGGGACCGAGACTACAACACTAACATTTAGGTATATTATGTGTATAAAATGCATTACTGTGTATTTCTAATAGTTACATACTTATTCTAAAATACGAAAACTGACCGTAGTTTGCTCAAAAATAATTAAGGCGAGTCAAGTCAAAATCTTTTTAGGCGAGTTGGGTGTATACCGACAGGGCTCATCACCCGCGTACCTAAAAGGGGTTGGCACCCTTATATTCTCATATGTGCGGTCTTTGTGCTTAATTTTAATAGTGCCAGGACAATTTTGAGTTCATATTTTCTTGCTCAGTGGTAATTAAAATATCTAGATGTAGCTTGTAAAATAAAGAAAACAATGTGAAATGATTTTTGTTTGAGAAACAATAATCACTTGAAATAAAGTTGAACAAAAATAGAAACAGAAGATCCAGGTTCACATATTTAACACAAATACAGCTTCTTAATTCTTGATATATTTTTGTAAATTTAGACTGGGCTAACTACATTGACACTCAGACCTATATGATAATATACAGGTCCGTTGTTGATATAAGACCAAAAATGAATTACATCTGTAATTTGAATCGGGATCTCCAAGCCTGTCTCTCAAACTACGCTGTGAATGATTACAGGTTTTTTCCTAATTGATTTTGTAAGGTTAAAGATGTTATTGTGATAGAATCTATGTATCTGTTCAACAGGTAATCATCAAATCTGGTGATGACATCACAGACTTCTCTGTATGTAGCCGACACGCATCATCTGTGTGGCGGGTTCTGGTACTGACTCAAACTCACAAGGTCTATCTCATAGATGTACCTGACACTGACACACCCTCAGAGGACATAAGGTCAGTACCACGTGTGAATGCAGTGTTCCCGCTGGCTTTTAAAACTGCAAGTCCTGGTGGACTGGCAACTCGAAAAACTACCTGTCCTGCCAGTTTTTGTCAGTTCCAACATTCAACAAATAAAAACACATTTGAAAATTACCTGGTTTTTATCACGTGAGGCACTCTTTTCATCAGCTGATGAATGTCAACAAATGCAACTTCAATCCTTAAGTGAATATTGCTGATGTTTTGTTTACCACAAAAGATTTATAAGGTTTTTTATTTGCCGGTCCACAGGGACTAGCAGTCACATGAATTACTGGTCAAAACCTAATTTAACCTGTGAAAACTGGTAATTACTGGTAAACGGGAACACTGGAATGAGATGCTACATGTAGTGGCGGACCCAAGGGAGGGATGCCACACCCCTTTTGAAATGACATGACCCCTCCAACAAAACCAAAATACCTTTGTATTATTGAAATGATTGTAAAACTTGTATACATCATTGTTTCCTGTTTTCCACAAATTTGAGATGTTACCCTTTATTGAAAAATATTCATATGTAATAAAAAGCCCAGAAGACTGTATGTTTTCGAACACCTTTTAACAACATTTTTCATCAAAGCAGAGAGAGAGAGACACACACACACACTACCATTCACTTTACAATGAAAATGCAGTGCTAGAAATTGACACTAGTTCTGTAGTCCTTGTCAAACTGCCCAATAGTTAAGGTATCATGAGGACTAGTAGAAAATAAGGGTTTTGCTATATCTTATCATTATAAGGACGAGTGAACTAAAAATGTTAGTTTCTAGCACTGAAATGCCTGGTAGACAGAGGGGAAATAACTCTTCTCAGCTGTCATGTTGCAGATTGTGTGTCCCTTGATAACGTGAAGTGAAACGTCGCATCCAAAATTATTGCACTCATATAGTGACATGGTAGTGGGTGGCTGCTTGTACTTGTCCAGACTAATGCCAGGTTTATAGTGCTAGCCCACTGAGATACCATGCCATTGTTTAACATGACTGCCCTACTCAGACACAGTGTCCCATTGTAAATCAACATGGAAGGTTTCTCACACCCTCCACTGTGCAACGGGGTAGCTTGGTGGTTAATGTGTTTTCTCGTCACATTGAAGGCCCCGGTTCAATTCCTCACATGGGTACAATGTGTGAAGGCCATTTCTGGAGGAATATCACTAAAAGTGGGGTAAAACCATCCCTGCCCTCCATTTTCAGGAATTACAACAGGGTGCCATGAGTTTTTGTGATACTGCCAACGATGGAAGCCAAGGGTTGCTCTCAGTCACTCTCCATAAATAACTGACCGCCTCCATGGTCTAGTGGTAGACCGTCCGCCCGGAGAGAGGAAGGTCCAGGGTTCGATCCCCGGCCACGTCATACCAAAAGACGTTAAAAGATGGTACTTGTTGTTACTCTGTCTGGCACTCAGCATTAAGGGGCTAAAACAAAGACTGGTCGACTCTGAGTCAGTATACTGTGTCTGAGTAGGGTATTCATGTGAAACTGCAGCATATGGTATCTCAGTGGGCTAGCACTATTATAAATCAACATTATTACGGACTAGAACAAGTACCCACACACACACACGTGTATGCACATCGCTATATAAGTACATAATCTTGGACGCGACGTAAAACCCCATTTCACCTCACCTCACCCATAAATAACTTTTATATTTCAGTGATGAGGAAAAGCCCAAAGAAGGAAACCAAACCATATTTTCAGAACTTCTCGACAAGGAAGAAGATGAAGAAATTACCATTGTCCCCATCTGTGACAGTGTGATCCACCTCGACTCGGAACACCTAATTCTGCAAAGTGACTCTCCAATCAAATGTATTGAAGTTGTGCGGAGTCTCCTATTGACATTATCAACAGAGCCGGTAAGAAAAGTCAAGGTTTATGAGCTGGATAGCTTTCAAAACCATGACCAAAGCAACAACAATCCAACGCTTGAAATAAAGTGTCCAACATTACAATTTGATTCACAAGCAGACAAGCTGGGACTCCATGTGCTTGTATGCAGTGGTGAAGATCAGGATAAATGGATGTCTACAGATGTCATACAGTTGCATCAGATATTATTCACAGCCTTGTTCAAAACAGAAGCGGCTCTACTTCATTCACCAATAATCCTGTTCACATTAAATGGCTGTGTCTTTTGCCATCAGATGAAGACGCTTTTGTCAGGAGAGTTATGGGAAATTCTGTGTGATATTGAAGGATCAGTTGAAAGCATTACAAAATTGCAAGTTAAACCAAAAGATGATGGGAGTGATCTCCCCTTTACGGCTCTTCAGCCTCAGGGTTCAAAATGTTTCGAAGGACTTTTGGTCTGTTCCTCGACTGGGAAGACAGTTTTGGTACACATTAAACAACCTGATGGTGGTGTTTTGTATGATATTATTTCCCTTCCTGGCCCTGTTGTGTGTTGCGATGCATTTGAGTCTATGGTCTATCACAGTACTGGGAAACAGATCTACAAGCATGTTTTCACCAGGTGCAACAATCCACCAAAGGGAGGTAACTCAGTGGACCTTGAGTCTGAGTTACTTCATCAGACGTTTGTGAATGGACTTGTAGTTGATGGAGAGAGTCTGGATGCATCAGGTAAATGTACCTTTGAAAAATACATTAATACTTTAGAAAAATTTTTAATATATTTTGCACAACCTTTATAGAATTGAATTTACAGTCAAGTCTTGTTAATCCGACACTCGTTAATCTGACAATCGGCTTTATGCAACACTAATGATGGGAACCGATTAAATCAGTGCTATGTAGACCCGTTAATCCGACAGTCTTGCACTCCAACTCTGACACACCTAATTTGCAACGAATTACTGAAATCATCAGTCTCGTTAATCCGACACAATGATCAGCTTACTCTGTGGTCATCTCTCCGCGAGTACACAGCCAGTGTTTGATGCGAGACGAGTCGGCTGGTAGCTGCATATTTCAAAGCTTAACAATAGACAATTAATGCTTTAAATAAAGAAAACAGGTTTAATCACAAGCTAAGATTACCTCAATCCCGTTAAAATCAGATTCAAGTTCTCACTATCGCCGAGGACATCCCATTACAGGTCACGTCAGAAGAGCCTTTCGCGAGCTATGACCTATGAATGTTGGTACTACTTATTTTCGTTTATCCGACATACTTGTTAATCCGACATAATCATGTGCAACCAGCCATGTCGGATTAACGGGACTTGACTGTAATTGGTACCAGTCATTTTTTTTAGTGTTATGCTACTGGTCACAAAATATTGTGATGATTAATTAAAGAAGATAGCTGCATGTATACCTAAAAAGTGAAAATAAGACATTCTGCTCATCAGGAATATTACTTACAGTAATTGATAACATGTCAGTCCTAACTACATTGTGTGATGTTTACTTTCGAGTGTACTGGAAGTGACCTCTGAACTTGACTACGAGTGCACATGCAAGAGTGGAAGCTCAGGGGTTTGATGGGTAAAACAGGAGGCAGTAGCGTGGTTACAAATGGCGGGGATTTGACATGAACTGTCACTGGTGTGAACTGTATCAAGTTGTGTGAGAGAAGGACCAGCAGTGGAAAGGGCCATAAAGGTAACTAGCAGTAATGACAAAACTTGCAAAGTGCCCCCTTCCAAGCAATATCCTTTTGCTAGCAATAAATAGTATGATTGAGTTTTGAACACGTTACAATCCTTGTAGCATGAGTGAGTATGGTTTTTACGCCGCTTTTAGCAATATTCCAGCAATATACCAGCGGGGGACTCCAGAAATGGGCTTTACTCATTGTACCCATGAGGGGAATTGAACCCGGATCTTCGGTGTGGCGAGCGAACTACAATCCTGGTAAGAATTGGCAGTCATGTGACTGTGAGCTGATATATTGGCAGTGAACTTGGTAAATAGTGCCATATATACTACATCTGCACGTTTTTATCCCCCAAGTTTGAAAAACGGTCAAGTGGTGCCTTTTGATGATTTGAGATTTTTATTATTTTTTTATTTCCTTTAGTTTTATGCTTTTTCATGATGAAAACTATTTCTTCCATTTCCAGAGCAGAACTCCAAAACTGTTCAATATTTCCAGATGAAACTTGTTATACAGGTCAGCCCATTGGTGAATTGGTGTCTTTTGATGATTTGGGATTTTGAAAAAAGTACTGAACAGCATTATTTTTTCCTTCACTGAACTGAAGGTATCCAACGGCAATGAACCAAAAGTGGGTTATAAAGTGGGGGCATATGTCATCTCCTGATGACTCTTGTTTCTTTCAGTTCACGCAGGTAATGTATGTACACTGCACATGCTGATAAATACTGTAATTCTGGAAAGTTTTGCGCCATGAAATTACTGAGAGTGGCAAACAAGGGGCCTCAACTGCGTCTGTAAAGTTTGGTGACACCCTGTTAAGATTACCAAAGATCAAAGCTACTTTTGCAGGTGTTATATTTTTTAAATTATTCCCCCACATCAGTATGCAATATTCCTTCTCGCTTCGAATACATAACAGTGTAGAACATTGTGAACACTCTGTTTTGGTTTCCATTTTTCGCGTGTTTCTACCTCCCTTGTTTTTACGCGAACAGCTGTGTTGACGATGACCTTCGCCCTCTTTTCAAAAGTGTGTGGACTGCCATGTGAAGAAATTGGCTTTCCACAGCCTTTGCCCTGACTTCCAGGTCAAGGTCCACTGCTGCTTGGACAAGCGATGCTCTGCTTGCGCCCACTTATCCTCCGACCTTTTCAACGTTTACCTAGCTAAACTCCGCAAAAGGGCTAACCAATAACTACAGCGCCAGACTTCAAGCCCCTCTCATAAATCTGCGACTGTCACCACCACCGCCTCAACAACAGATTGGGCTTGTCATTGGGTGGATCGTCCTTGTCCCCTGTAACACGGTCACACTTGCACACACGCGTGCACTCACGTTTCGCTCCTTCAGCCATTCCAGGTGCGCACGCACCCACGCACACACACACACACACGCACGCATGCACGCACGCATGCACGCACGCACGCACACGCACACACACACCTATCTGTTTGCTCCGGAACTTGTCTGACGGGTACTATGATGGCGTCTGCCACAACTACGTGCGCCTCTTCAGCAGCGACATCTCCTCACATAATGTCATCTGCCACTGATGGTTATTGCCCTCCCTGGCATCTCATCGTGACAGTCCTCCAGGAGCCATCAGATGTATTCCATGCGCCTAGCGATACATGCCATCCTTTCTGGCTCCTACCCCGTCGTCTCCTCACATAGCGCGGTCGCCACCTCAAGCATTTCTCCATGCACCTCAACAAGCTTCCATTGTCGTCCCCCTCCATTACAGGGTTATCAGCCTTGGATGTTAGGTTCTCCTCCTGCACCACAGTTAGTCCAGATGCCCTCCACTTGGCCTCTTCGTTTTACTCACAGCAAGTGCACGCTCTTCCACCACCATTGCCTCAGGTGCTGCTTTTGCCATCTTAGGTGCCACCTTTGCCTCCTTAGTTGGTGCCTGTTCCCTCTTCTCGGGTGCAGCTATCGCAGACTCTGCCTTTGTTATCCTCACCTCGGGTCGGCTCGCCACTGGTGACCTCTCCTCAGATGTAGGGCAGGGACGATACACCAACTGTGCGATCTGATACGTATCATGATATGTTGCTCACGACCCGATACGTATCACGATACTTGCATGTGCACTTTTCTGTGGTGCGTTAGCCATGTTTTCCATAGACATGATGGCCAAATACCTGGCACACTAACGATTTACAGTGGCAGTGTCAAGTATGGCGCAATGGATGAAATTATTTACGCATTCACTACTCATTTTCACTAGTAATTAGTGTTTGGTGTACCATTTATTGAAGAATACATTTGAGATAAGAATCGATACTTTTTAATTATTTTTGTGTGATTGTGATCAATACTTGCATCGAGAAGTTAGAAATCGGGATTTACATTGGTGTATCGTCCGACTACTACTGAGGTGTCATTTCGGTACTACAGTAGCCCAACACGCCTGATCAGGCATCTCTGGTTGATTATGCCTGTGGCTCTCCTGCTCAGGGTTCAAAATCCCATTCATTCATGACAGGGTTTCCAAGTGTGTATGTTCTTCATTGAGAGCCTCCTCTTGTGTTTTGGCGCCTAGTGTTGCTACCTCTAAGGCTGAGGAGAAACCACTCTACTCCCCTAGAATTGGATCCTGTGGATCTTGGATGTCCCAAAGACGTATATAGAATACGTCCGTGGATGTCCTTAAACTCGCAAAGCTTGTCCCACTGCTTTCTGTGAAATCCTCCTTCGATCCCACCTTACCCGGTCCCCGTTCATCAGGGCTGTTATAAGGAAATTATAACTTGATAAGGAATACCAGTGGAATACACACACTTTATTCAGTACTTGTAGGCCATGGGCCTTTTTGTACAAACTACAATATAGGTGCAAACAGGACAAAATACAACATAATTCTTTGATTTTGATTAACAGAAGCAGTTTTCACATAATTGCATATTATCAAAGTTGGAGTATTTGTGTTCTTACAGAATTGGCATAAAACAAGTACATTGCTTTATTCATATAAACATATATATATATGTATTAAACTTCAGAATATTTGGAAAGATGTAAAATTTAGACTTTATGTAGCTTTGCCTGAGATATCTATAAACTGGACAAATTAACAAAAAGTGATATTCATTTTCAATCTGATATAAGTTATAAACTTTACATATTCTAAATTCACAAGGAATATTAAAATGTTGTCCACATTCAATTGTGGTCCTTAATTAATTTGCAGTAATACTACTCAAATAGTTCTCACATGAAATGGATGTTTTAAACTGTGCATAATAAGCCATTTTGTTAAATATTGATAAATTACTATGCCAGAAAATAGCTGACATAACATATTAAAAAGTATGGTTTTATTACCACATGTTTGAAAGTGCAAGATATAAAAAAATCTGAATCTAAAATTAACATTTTTAAGTTTTGTTACCCAATTTATGTGGCCTTGTTCATGGTACAACTGCAACATATTTTAAATTTTTGGGGGTAAAAGAGATTCCTGCATATTGACATGAGACAATATGTGACACATTTCTAAACAGCAAGCAGCTGTATAGAATATCGACCACACTCGCCTAACACCCCATTATTTGAAGTTGATAACTTTACATTTAAGAGACGCTTACGTGGTTCTATGTCACTGAGCCCAAACTGTCTGCCCTGGATAAAAGCATAGATGTAACTGTTTTCTCTGCATCAAATTATTTGAAGTAAAAGTGAGGCGAGTATGGTTTCAACATCTTCCCGAGGCAAGGGAGTTAACTGACTTTAAAAGTCCAGTTTCCACCCTTGCCAAACTATGATGGAATTCTTAGGCTCGATCGTAGCACCACCAATGGCTACTGCAAGTTGTGTCCCTTCTATGCCTCTCCTATGGACCAATCAGATTCAACCTCTCGTAGCACTTGCATTTGCTTCAAACAAAATGGTGGTGCCCAGTCAAGACGATCTGATCGATAATGAAGATCTATATTATGATAAAATGGGTCTTACATCGCGAAGAGCATCAAATCATGTGAGCACCTTGATTAAAAACATGAAAAGATTTGGAAAGTATCTGTTGACAATTGTGTTGCGTGATTGTGGTTAGACTATGCATAGACTCGTTAGTCCCGCCAAAATGTAACTCCTGAATACCAGCCCAGATCGACAAGGGTGGAAACTGGACTTTTATTGTCAGTTAACTCACTTGCCTCGCGAAGATGGGTTTCAAGGAATGTATACTGCTCAACAGGACCATGAACACCTTTCTTGCCTGAATTGCCATCTTATTAAATACTATTGCTAAAATACAAGACAAGATAACTGTATCCAGTAACTACATACATTAATTATGCCTTTCTATTATATTGTGACATGCTATTTGTATTTTTTATTCATGTATTAAGACTGCCAATGTATATATATATATATATGTACTCATCGGGAGAGGTATTGATATAAGCATTGTTGCTTGTTTACCAATCCACATTTCATTCTACAGTGAATGTGATGAAACAAAAATATGTGTAAACCATAAGCTGCATATACATGTATGTGTAAAATACATATTAGATAATCAGAACTACGCAGACAAATGAAATCCCAAGGACATGAAATACTCAACAAAAACTTCAATTAACGCTATTGAAATTAAGCTAATACACATATTACAACTGGTAGATAAAACCATTGCATATCAGCCGATGGCGAAATTCATTTACCAACAGTTACATATTTGTATGGGGCGGTCGGGTAGCCTAGTGGTTAAAGCGTTCGCTCGTCACGCTGAAGACCCGGGTTCGATTCCCAACATGGGTACAATGTGTGAAGCCCATTTCTGGTGTCCCCCCCGCCGTGATATTGCTGGAATATTGCTAAAAGCGGCGTAAAACCATACTCACTCACTCACATATTTGTAACACATATGTTTACTTCTTTTCATTTTGTTTTAAACAATTTACAGGGATTGTTACAAAACAGGTTTTCAAGTTAAAAGACCAAAGATAAAGAGATGTGGGTTAAAAAGAAATTGAATACCCACTAAAAATTGTGGATAACCAATAAAAATCAAACTCATGGGTAAAATACCCAAGTAAGTAAAAGCTTATCTAGTGCTCTGTAGTTAACACTGAATTCAGGATTCTCAGGACACAGAGTGAAAGTAGCTGTGGTGTAAGAGAACTAGCAGGAAATACATTGAAGGTTTTTAATATAGTACTCAAACTGATATATTCAAAATGAATGTGGTGTTTTACCAAGTTATGAAGTAACAAGATAGATTAAGATTTAGTGCAATACTACCATCTTTCATAATGTGCACTGATAAGAGACTCTACACTGTTGGCTCCAGGTCGGCACTGCGATGCCAGTGCCAGCATGGACATCAGTAGGTTGGCTTTCTCTACGTTAGTCACATGTGTAGTGACTGCGCAATTGATTTCTTCCTGGGGAGCATCTTTAAATAGCCTTGTAAGTAGGGTGACTGGAAACAGAAAAGTTTTACTGCCATCCTTGCCAGTTTGCAAAGAATGTATGGCGTAGAAGACCATCCCAAGAGAGAAAATATCACATGCTTTGGTATAGTGACCAGAGTCAACCTCAGGAGCCATAAAAAGGGGGGTGCCACAACCTGTATTCAAATAGTAGGTGGAGGACTTTGTTGCCGTGACACCAGATGTAGAAAAGGTGAATCGAGCAAATCCAAAATCAGCTATCTTGCAGATGGGGACATTACCAGGTCGTGCTGCCAGCAGAATGTTGTCGGGTTTGATGTCTCTGTGGACGATGTTGTTTCTGTGGAGGTGGTGAATACCCCGAGCCATGTCAAGCATGAAACTGTTCACAGTTCCCTTGTCTGGTCTGTTAACTATCATGTAGTCATTCAGAGTCCCTAGGTCACAGTACTCCATTTGAATATTGATTTCATCATCTTGAGTCTTCCACGCATTGATCAACTCCACAATATTAGGGTGGTTAGGGCACGTTTTTAGTACCTTTATTTCCTTTTGAAGAGCTTCTTCATCTAGGTTGAGCCCTCTCTTCAGTTTCTTCACAGCATATGGTTTACCATCAATCATCTCCAAGGACACAACACCAAATGTACCTTCTCCAAGTATTTGAGGCACTGGATTACATGCAGCCATCATTTTGAGTTGCTCCTCGATGAACACGGATGTTGCTCTGACGTGTTGTGAGGTGTGTGTTCACCAGGTTGTATCTAATTTGGTACAGGGAGTGCAATGTAGAACGAAACCTGGTTGCTATTGTCTAGCTTTGAACAGCACATGTTCACGGCCTAGTGGATGTCACTGAGAATATTGCAAACTCATAGTGAAAGTAGCTACTGGCAAGGAAAATGTTTTCTAGGAAAATGACAATGGGCGATCTTTTTTAATTTATCCTCCCTTCACTAACCCGCCAGGTGTGCTGACCCGGACCTTAATCTAAGAGTGCATGTGGTATGCGCGATACGAGCAGTACATGTTACTATCACACCTATAGACAGTTGACTAGTATAGTCTTCACCTCTATCGGCAATGGTCACACTGGTGCATGGACAGTATATCTTTTTGCGTAAACATTGATCTATCTATTGTCATGTCCGGAAATAGATGTCCCGTGACTCAATGATACATCAGGGATGACCACAACTGGTTACATTGTATAGTTAACCACTAGATAGACATTTAAAGCTAGGCGGTGAGATGAGCTGATCGTTCATTCCAGGTCGCTTGTTTGACGTTTTGCAATTGGTACTGAAAGTGTTGCCCTAGATGTTTAAATATCACACTTTTAAAAATCAAGTAGATTTTTTATACGTTCCTATATCTATGTTGTAGCCGAGCAGGCTACATCATATGCATGCATTTCAGTATGTACAGCAGTTAGGCGATGCGGTGCATGAAATGAGGGGCGGTTGGGTAGCCTAGTGGTTAAAGCGTTTGCTTGTCACGCCAAAGACCCGGGTTCGATTCCCCACATGGGTACATTGTGTGAAGCCCATTTCTGGCGTCCCCCGCCATGATATTGCTGGAATATTGTTAAAAGCGGCCTAAAACCATACTCACTCACTGTACATGAAATGTGAAGGTCTTATGCAACATAAAGTTGCCAGTAGCCTCAATGTTGTGAATACCGGTATTTACAGCAACACATGTAAGTATTTATCAGATATATAACTGAGAGAAGTGAGAAATGTTTTCAAGAAATTGTAAGATAGACACAATTTCTATGGATAACAACTTCTTTAATACTGTAAAAAGCGACGTTTCGGTATAGATCCTTATACCGTTGTCAAGCAAGACTGAATGAGGGACATAGTGCAGAATATATATATAGCAAGTGGAGGATTCACAGTAGAGGATTAACAGTAACAACAAGGGCATACATGAGTGGGATAACATAGGTAGGTGTGACAACAAAGGGATGATGTCCCGCCCAATCAACACCAGAATCAAAGAGCATAAAACCTCCACCATCAAATCCGACAGCAAATCAGCCATCTCGGACCATATCATCAACTGTCCCAATCACATCATCAACTGGGACAACGTCCAAATCCTCGCCAACAACCTCCATGATTTCACCAAAAGAAAACTAACAGAAGCAGTCCACATTCGCCGCCACAAGCCATCAATCAACAGAGATCAAGGCTATTTCATCCCATCCGCCTACTATGAACTCATCAAACAATAATCACCTGTTTATTGGCTTCATGCCCCATTGGCTTCTAACTATGTGTTTTGTGTTTTCTGTCCATCGTGTTGTGATAGCATCATCCCTTTGTTGTCACACCTACCTATGTTATCCCACTCATGTATGCCCTTGTTGTTACTGTTAATCCTCTACTGTTAATCCTCCACTTGCTATGTATATATTCTGCACTATGTCCCTCATTCAGTCCCCGACTAGAACAAGATATTAAGACAGGACAACTAAATAAACAATATACCACAGGCATCTTCTTAGACTTCTCTAAAGCTTTCGACATCGTATGGCACGATGGGCTAATACAAAAACTTAAAAAAATAGGACTCAAAGGTCAGATAATAAACTACATCCAGGACTTCCTAAACAATCGTAAAATAACCGTGGGTATAGACCAAACTCTATCGGACCAATGTCCCCTAGAAAATGGTACTCCACAGGGCAGTATCCTCAGCCCCACCCTCTTCAATATAATGATAAACGATCTATTCGAGGGCCTATCCCCTAAAGTAAACACATCAAAATTCGCGGATGATGGAGCCATCTGGATCCGCACTAAAAGCATGAACATGGTCCAAAATTTACTCCAAAAATCTCTTAATAAAATACAACAATGGGCTGACAAATGGGGCTTCTCCCTTAACTCAGAAAAAACAACAGGAATAGTATTCAAACATAAAAACATGAAACCCGCCTCCCCAATCCTCCAGCTAAACAATCAAACAATCAAATTTAAAAAACAAACCAAATTCTTAGGACTTATTTTCGATGAACATCTCACCTGGGATGCTCACATCCAAAACCTAACAACTAAATGCAGTAAAGACGTAAACACCCTAAGATGCCTAACTGGCTCTAACTGGGGAGCATCCAAAGATACCATCCTCTCTCTCTACATATCACTAATTAGATCAAAACTAGACTACGGCTGCGCCATATACAACACCCTTAACAACTCTCTATCTAAAAAACTTGACTCAATACAATATCAGGCTCTCAAACTAATTACACGCACCCAACATGGCACCTCTTGCACCTCACTTCAGGCCTTAACAGGAGAAATGCCACTAAGTCTACGCAGGGAACAGCTAAGCTTAAATTTCTGGGCCGCGTCCCAATCAACCCCTCTCATCCAAAACTTAATAAACCAAAACATCAGCCCCAAAAACCAAGCTCTAGCTCGTAAACACCCCTTACTTACCCCAATATCCCAAAGAATAACAAACTACCTAAATGAACACCAAATTAAAAATCTTAAACAAAACTGCAAACAATCAAATATCTTCACCCCTAAACTTAAAATACCCAAAATAGACACAACACTAGCTAGCCAAATAAATAAACAAACCGACCCAAACATAGCTCAAACTACCACACCAGCATACATACACGGAAATTGGCCAAATTGGTGTCACATTTACACGGACGGATCTTCAGACCCGATCTCCAAACACACAGGTTTCGGAGTCCATACCACACAACCTGTTATATCCACACAATCTTACCGACTCCCAAACAACCAATCTATATTCACGGCCGAACTTATGGGCATGGCCTCAGCCCTGCATAACCAACAATCAAAAAACAACAAAAAAATCCTAATTCTCACTGACTCGCTTAGTGGACTACAAGCCCTCCAAAACAAAAATACCAAAAAACGACCTAAATTAATAAACCAAATACTTAAAAGCTCCAACGACCTAACAAAAGCAGGCAAACAAATAACCTTCTTGTGGATCCCCGCCCACGTAGGAATTTACGGCAACGAAAGCGCCGATAAAGCAGCTAAATTATCTCTCAAAATACCAGAAATAAGCCTAAACCTACCCATCTCAAAATCAGAAATTAAAAGTGTAAACAAACAAAAAATAACCAAAAAATGGCATAATCAATATCAAAACTCAAATAGCCAAGTCAAAAAAGTGCTCAGAAAACCACTAGCCAAACCTAAAATCCTTCACCCCTCTAAAAAAATTGACAGATTAATTACAAAACTCCAAACAGGACACACGAACCTAAATAACCACCTAAAACAACTTAAAAGACACACCACAGGCAACTGCCCCCACTGCAAACAACCCGAAACCACAGAACACGCACTCATCCACTGCACCCACTACCAAACACACAGAACCACACTACAAACCAACCTCAATCTAAATAAGGTTCTTACTCTAGATGAAATACTAAACCCTCAAAATAAACTAGAAAACTTCAAGGCCCTAGGGGTATTCCTAATCAAAACAGGCCTAATTAAGCGCATCTAAAAACTAATCTACCAACCCAAAATCCAATAAACATACAAATAGCCACCTCACCCAGCTCCCTTAGTTCCCTCCTCCATCCACCTAGGCATTTATTCCAAATTTTAAAATTTCAAAAATCGATATAAGCAACCCCTAAAAGCCCCCTCTTGGGTTGCACACACCACTTTCACCCTTCTCGGAATACACTAAATGGTCTGGCCAGGCCCGTGTGCGAAATACGCTGCAGTCGGAAAGCGCACGTTAAATCTTCTATATCAGTCAGTCAGTCACTTGTGATGTGTGCGAAATATGCATCAGTCGGAAAGCGCACGTTAAATCTCCAAAGTAACTAACTAACTAACTTGTGATGTCCGTGTGTGAAACACGCTACAGTCGGCAAGCGCACGTTAAATCTTCTACCGGTATATCAATCAGACTTGTGATGTGTTTCATTCCAGGTCGCCTTACACACGGAGTATAGGATTTGGGGTTGATTTTTAAGGCGTGTACAGGGGGGTCGTCTTATACGTGGGGTCGCCTTATACACAGCGATATACGGTACCCAAGTAAATTGATCAACATATTAAGGTCATATATCAACTGTGATAAACGTGATAGCTTCAGTAGTTCACACTGAATTCAGAACTCAAAGTGAAAGTAGCTGGGGTGTTATAAAAGCCCAAGTAAGTTTGGTGACTATGAGTACCAGAGTAGGAAATACATGGACACTTTTTAAACATATTATTTTAACTGACACATTCAAAGGGATGTGGTGATTTACCAAGTTATGAAGTAACAAAACAAATTAAGTGTAGCTGCATAAGTAGTTTTACATGAACTGTCTAATTAACATTATGAAGTGGCAAAACTACTGGTTTAGTCTCAAGACCCTCATGCCACTGACAATCTAGTTCCAAACTTTGTTTACCAGTAAGTGGTTATGAAGTAACAAAACAAATTAAGCCAGGCTGCATGAGTCACGTGTAGCTTTGTATGAACTGATAGTAGACTCTACGTCGTCGGCTCCAGGTCGGACATGTGGATTCAGTGCCAGCATAGACTTCAGCAGGCCGGCGTTCTGTCTGGTGGACACATGCGTCGTGACTGCCCTCTTGATCTGTTCTTGACTTGCTTGATGAAACACTTCACTTGAATATGGGATGACTGGACACAGCAGAGTATGAGTGCTGAAGTTGAAGGTTTGTAGAGAATGCATGGCGTAGAAGACCATCCCAAGAGAGAAAATATCACATGCTTTGGTATAGTGACCAGAGTAAACCTCAGGAGCCATAAAGAGGGGGATGCCACCACCTGTATTCAAATAGTAGGTGGAGGACATTGTTGCCATGTCACCAGATGTAGGAAAGGTGAATCGAGCAAGTCCCAAATCCGCAATCTTGCAGATGGGATCTCTAAGAAATCGTGCTACTAGCAGAATGTTGTCGGGTTTGATATCTCTGTGGACGATTTCTTTGTCATGGAGACCCTGAATACCCCGAGCCATGTCAAGCATGAAATTACATATAGTTTCCTCCCCTAGTCTGTTTTCAATCATATAGTCATTCAGCGTTCCAAGGTCACAGTACTCCATTAGAATATTGACCTCATCATGAGACATCTGCACATCGAACAATTTCACAATATTGTCATGATCAGAGCACATTTGTAGTGTTCTTATTTCCCTCATAATATCTGTTTGATATAGGTTGGGCGTCTTCTTCAGTTTCTTCAGGGCATATAGTTGACCATCAATCGTCACCTGGTACACAACACCGAACTGACCTTCTCCAAGTTTTCCATGTTCTATGTAACTTTGTTCGGCCCCCATCTTGAGTTGTTCCCTGGTGAACACGGGTGTTGTGAATTCATATGACAGATAGTGATAGATAGTGGGTGTCACTGAGAATACTCTGAACTCATAGCGTAAGTAGCTTTCGAGGAAAATTAAAACTTGATAGCTATGTGTTGTAGGCGAAACATAATCTTATTAGGGCATACACTAAACTTTGAAAAGTTTAAATATGAACTTACTCATAAAGTGGCGAATGTTTAGCTTAAGCGTCATTAGATAGCTTTGTGTGGTTCAGCGAAATGTAATTTTATCAGGCAATGGACATTGAAATGTGGTATTAGATTACCTGATAAATCCAAAGGTATGTGGCACATATTTAGCTTATGACTAGAAGTCCTGGATTTTTTAAGTACTTGCCGATCAATTCCTTGCAAATGCAATACACTTTAATGTAGGATTCTTTTCACAATATTAAACATTGATGTCTGTATTTGCGTATATGTGTATCCCATAGATTTGATAAGTATCTTAAATGAATCTATGTTAAGAGTTATGTTAAATCCAAAATTTTAGAAGGCCCCCTTAACTGACACCAAGATGGAGGCTAGGAACAACACTGCCTTACATCAAGTATCAATGAGATATATTCCCCTGTAATTAGCTGGCTCATCCTTATTACCTCCCTTGAATATGGGACAGATTATGCTCTTTCCCCTCTCCTCTGGAAAAACTGCATTGTGAGGGATTCTGTTGCATCTATTTTTGTGAAATAGGTGCAACATAATGTCCTGTTGATTTCATAAACTCACTTACAATACCGTTTATTATGTCTTATTTATTATTTTTAAATTGTGCAAACTCATAAGGACTTCTTCATCAGTGAAAGTTGTGTAAAGATCATCACACATGTCTGTGTGAGACAAAGCTGAATCCTCATTATGTATATCTGTTATCAGAGAGTTATAATCACTGTCAGTGTGTTTCTCAATACTGAGAAGAATTTGAAAATGCCCAAGCCACTGGTAACAACATTTTATATTCCCGAGGCACATCTACATTTTTTTCAAGTGTTCCAAAATAACTTGGAGTTGTTCCTAGCAAATAACCATCCTATTCCTTTGTTTCTCATAATAATCTTCACTTTTGGTACCAAAAAAATGTCTTCAGCAAACTACTTTGAACTCGTCCATATCCTTGTCTTTCGGTGAGCTATTAAAACTGCTTATTTCCTCTGTTTAATAGTCTCTAACTCTTCATCCATTCTTGGAGGTTGCTTCTGTCAGAGACCATATACCGGTATATATTGGTATATGATCTCTGCTTCTGTGTTGTTTTACGAGACTGCTAGCCTTATTGTCGTTGGTTTGTTGTTTAACACAACATTATTCAATATTCAATATTCAAGCAATATGACGGAGGTCTGTAAATAATCGAGTCTGGACCAGACAATCCAGTGATTAATATCATGAGCATCGATCCACGCTATTGGAATCGATGACATGCATCAACCAAGTCAGCGAGCCTGACCACCCGATCCCGTTGGTCGCCTCTTACGACAAGCATTGTCGCCTTTTACGGCAAGCACGGGTTGCTGAAGACCTATTCTATCCCAGCCTTCGGAAATTTAAACCAAATATGGCGTGGATCACTCCAATACTCTGTCAATTATAAGTTATAAATCGTTTTGTAGTCTAACCGAAGATAAAATCTCCAGGAAAATCTTTGACTGGAGTAATAACTGGGCTACCAGAAGAAAACGAAATTAACAGTTTAGGATATGTAATAAGCTCAGAGATCTTGGTTTAGAGCATTTCATCCCCTGAAAACAATTTTAACAGCTGAAGTACAACGTGTGATATTTGATAGATTGAAAACTGACTGGAATCATGCTATTTTACAACCACAGAGTGTTTCGGGTAAGGGAGGTAATAAGTTAAGATTATATTATACTATTAAACATGAATACTCTACAGAGGCATATGCTACTCGCCCTGTGCCCTGATCACACAGGAGTGCACTTTCTAAATTTAGAAGTGGAACAGCCCCAATACACATCGAGCTAGGTCGCTACAGAAGAGAGAGTCTGTTTTAACTGTGATAATGCTGTTGAAGATGAATGTCATGTACTCTTAAATTGTCCTATCTGTACTGATGAGTGTTTTATACTTTTAGAAGAATGTCGTCATGTAAACCAAGGTTTTAATGGACTTTGTGTTATGCAAAAAACAGCCTTCATATTATTGTGCAATGTTTTATGTTCTTTTTACAGTCTCTCGTATCTCTCATGACTCCAGTCTCTCGTAAATCCATATAGAGTGGCCCTACCTGTTGTATGTTGTCTAGGTTTATCGCTGTATTTTATTGGGGGGATATTATAATAAATTGTCTGTCTGTCAGTCTGTATATAGGTTTTGCATGTCAGTGTGATTTAACAAAACGTTAGAGTTGTACAATTTGCCTTCAGAAAACATTCTACTTTGGCCCAAAACTCTTTAACATGCTTGAAATCCCAATATACATGAAGAAGGGATTCAGTATTAATTTCACAGAATGAGCATTCGTAACAGTTCTTTCTTTGTATAGATGATGCGATGAATAAATTTATATCGGAAATCAAGTAATTTTACATTTTTTGTACATTTTCTGTATCATAAACACATCCTTCCATGATATATCTAAGTCACATACTTTTTTGTACACACTTACTCTATTCCTTCCCATCTTCTCGAGGCAAGAGAGTTAACTGACTTTAAAAGGCAAGTTCCCAACCTTGCCGAACTAGGCTGGATTTCCTGGGCTCGATTGTAGCGCTACTAGTGGCTGTTACAAGTTATTGACGCTATTGACACCTTTAAAAGAACCTGGGTGACAGAGAATGGATACATATTTGTTGTCATTTGACTACAATGTATTTGGGTCAGTATAATGTTTTCGCGTTCAAAATGGCTAGGTGTAAAATATATCTTCCCGAGGCAAGAGAGTTAACTGACTTTAAAAGTACAGTTTCTACCCTTGCCGAACTAGGCTGGAATTACTGGGCTTGATCCCTTCTATGACTCTCCTATGGACCAATCAGATTCAACCTCTCATATCACTTGCACTTGCTTTAAACAAAATGGCGGCGCAGTCAAGACGATCTGATAGATAATCAAGATTTATATTGTGATAAAACCGGTCTTGCATCTCAAAGTGCATCAAAACACGTAAGCACCTTGATTAAGAACGTGAAATGAGTCGTTGGAGTGATCTCCCTTGCCTTCTTCCGGGTCCAAACAGTGGGTTCGCGATGAGGCACATCTGTGCAAGTGGGTTCTCTTCGTTGTGTAGCCATTGTCATAGTAGATTGATTGTTACTATCTGACACACAGATTACAGTATGGTTCCTTCGATTGTGTTGATATATTTTTCCACCAAAGATAAATCTGTTGTGCTGAATCTTTTGGTTTCGCTCTGCCTCTCTTGCCTGTGTAAACAGTTGGGATAATGCTTGGCGATCTTCCCTGACCTGTTATTTGAGATCCTCCATGACTCGCACTTGTCCTTCCTCTGATCATAGGACTTCTTTAGCTTTTGCTGTTATGAAGTTCACAATCACAATCCTTCGTTATCTAGAGGCGACTAACGGGATCGATTGTCAGGCTCGCTGACTTGGTTGAAGCATGATATCAATCACTAGATTGTCTGGTTCAGACTCAATAATTTACAGACCGCTGTCATACAGCTAGAATATTGCTGAGTTGGCGTAAAACAACAAATCAGCCAACCAACCAACTAAATTGTGCGCCATGTGTTAACATGCTCCTGCAAATTGTGAATCACGAGGAGATGTCTTCATGAATATGTATTGAAAGATGCATTATTCAATTTGAGAATAACTTTATTTTTCAGGAAATTTATATGAAGCAGTTACTTTTTTCGATAGTATTGTTACTTTTGCAAAATTGTGATAAGATAAGAAATTTTATTTCAGGCATCAAGTTGGTGTGTCAGAGTGCCCTTGGTGATATTCTGGTGCTTCAAGGTCAGTCAGACTCTGAGAGTAAATCTCTGGCCCACTCGACTCATTCCTTCGAAGAACTCCTGATGGGGCTGGACACAACCAACAAGAGACACGCAGAGATATTCCAACAGCAGAAACAGCTGAACGACTTGATACACCAACTCAGCATTGCCGGACACCTGATAACTAACTATTCTCTCCAAGCAGAAACTTCAACCAAAGGTGATGACGACCATCCAGTTTCCTGCTCTTGCAGTGTTACAGCAACTAGACATGGTTACAAGGTGGACTATGCCCTCATCTGTAGGCTGACCAATCACAGCCCCATTTCACTGTCATGTGACTGGAGTTTGATGGTCGTCATGGTTACAAAGGACCAATCACATACAGAGAGTAGGTCACATGGCATGGCTTTGTCACATGGGTTAAAGTCAGGGTCATGTTTGGAAATGAGAGTTCCAATGGATTTAAAATGTGTGTCATCTTTATACTGCGATGTTAAAGTGTATCTTGTGTTATATTCCGAGTTGCTAGGAGACCAGATGTCATTCAAGCTGAATGCCCCAGTTCCAAAGACATCAAGTTTAGGTCTCCCTGCCCTTTTGAAAACTCAGAGACTTGATGTTTTGTATTACCTACGAGAACCAATCACAGAAGTTGTTAACTCCACACAGTCCTTGGGCAAGAAACCTCTTTCTTCATTGGTCAGGCAGCAGCCAATGAGAAAACAAAGGCATGAAGAAGAAGTTTCAAGTGCAAGACTGATGCTAACGACAGAAATTAGCATTGGAAGGGTCAAGTTGCCCCCTGACTTTGAGGCAAGTTGCAAGGAAGGTATGTGACAGTTCCATTCTTTGCTTCAAGACCTGTGATGTTCCAGGGTAGAATAGCTCTTCAGCAACACATGCTTGCCATAAAAGGCAACTATGCTTGTCGTAAGAGGCGACTAACGGAATGTGGTGATCAGGTTCGCTGACTTGGTTGTTGCATGTCATCGTATCCAAATTGCGTAGATCGATGTTCATGATGTCAATCGCTGGATTGTCTGGTCCAGATTCGATTATTTACAGACCGCCGTCATATAGCTGAAATATTGATGAGTGCGGCGTTAATTAAACAACAAACAAACAAACCACAATCAACCATTTTAGCCGGAAATTTAAAATTAGATTGTATTCTTTGTAACCCTGCTTGGCGTTGAGCATGAAAGTGATAAAACTAAGGCTGGTCGGTTTGGAATCAGTATACTCTGTGTGGGGTATTCATGTGGAACTGCCACATGGTATCTCAGTGTGCAAGCTGGGGGCACCGGTGGCCCTGTCGTCTAAGGCGCCGCGATTCGCTGTGCAGAGTTGCGTCCCTTGGGCACACCAGAAACCTATGATTGTGGGTTCGAATCCCGGTTCACCCCGATTATGTTTCTAGGTTTATCAGCACCATACCCATGCTCGTGGGTTTCACCGAAGTGGTAAACGTCTGAGACCTGCATCACTTCGGGTTTTCCTCCCACATTAAGCTGACACGCCGAGATATGACTGGAATAATGTTAAAAGCGGCATTAAACCCAACTCACTCACTCACTCACTCACTCACTCACTCACTCATTGCTAGAATCAATCACTGGCTCTTCTGGTCTAGAGATTATATAATAATTTACACAACTGAACTTCAGCTACTTCAGATCGTTCAAAATTCAGATCGTTTGGTATAAAGAGTTAAAAACATCAAATTTTCGAGAATTTTTTTTTTACCTCTCACAATTTGTCATAATTCATTGTGTTTTGGAGTTTTTCAACAGCCTTTACTACAAGTAGTTTTATATAATTTATTCATATTCATAACGAGAGTAAATGAGTCGGGGTGATGTGTAACCAAGTTTAAGCAGAGGTCTGACCTAATAGGATTCTCTCTGTTACAGGCGACAATACATGTGTCAGACTGTTGAAGTATTTGCTGATGGACTCGCAAATAAATATTGAAGCTCTCAAAAAATCGCAGCTGCAGTTAGTTGATCCATGTGGGCATGTGATCAGTGTATCCATGGCAATTGATCCTCAGAAGAGTGAGAGACTGTCTGTACAGCTCAGCTGTAACCGGGTGGAGGTCTTGGCCCGATGTCGAGCCGCCATTGTTCACAGGATTCAGGTAAGACAGGACGACATACCAGTAACTAGTCATGAACATCCGGGGTAGAATAGGTCTTCAGCAACCCATGCTTGCCGTAAAAGGCGACTATATGCTTGTCGTAAGAGGCGACTAACGGAATCAGGTGGTCAGGCTCACTGACTTGGTTGATGCATGTCATCGTATCCCAGTTGCGTGGATTGGGATGGTTGATATACCATTTGTGATTCAAGGATGGCCCAGTCGTCCAAGGCGCTGTGAACCGCTGTGCAGAGTTGCGTCCCTTGGGCACGCCAGAAACCTATGATTCAGGATTTGAATGTGAGTTCGCTCCGGTTTGTCAGCACCATACCCGTGCTAGTGGGTTTCACTAAAGTAGTAAACGTCTGAGACCTGCATCTGAGACCTGCATCTGAGACCTGCATCACTTCCGGCTTTCCTCAAACATTAAGCTGACACAGCTTGATATAACTGGAATAATGTTAAAAGCAGCGTTTAAACTCAACTCACTCACTCACATGTGATTCAAGACTAATATTGTATGAACTATCTTCATTTGTATATTGTGTAACTATCTTTTGTCAGCTTGTTATTGTAAAATATCATTGAACACAAACTTGAGAATATTGGAGTATGTTTCTATTTGTCAACATTTGCATTGGTCTTGTGATACATTATTCCAGACAGTCCGCTGTCCGGATGACACGGATCTGCGTGTGCAGGATCTCCGACAGTACCTCACCAAGCTGGAGGTAGGAGTTATAAGCAGCCATGCTACAACACCTAGGCAATAATATACTCATAATAGATTTTGTCCTGCCCACATATCTATCCAACACCCCATTAAATTGGACGAATGAAGATCCGGGGTAGAATAAGTCTTCAGCAACCTATGCTTGCCATAACAGGCAACAATGCTTGTCGTAACAGGCGACTTGCGGGATCGGGTGGTCAAACTCACTGACTTGGTTTATGCATGTCATTGTATCCCAATTACATAGATTGATGCTCATGATATCAATCACTGGATTGCCTGGTCAAGATTTGATTATTTTCAGACCACCATCATATAGCTGGAATATCGCTGAGTGCTGTGTTAAACAAACAAAACAAAATCATTTTATTGTCCTCCAATTCCTGCAGTTCTTTTACTTGGGGGGCACGGGTGGCCCAGTCATCTAAGGCGCCCCGATTCGCTGTGCAGAGTTGCGTCCCTTGGGCACGCCAGAAACCTATGATTGTGTCCTGGTTCGCCCCGATTATGTTTCTAGGTTTGTCAGCACCATACCAGTGCTCGTGGGTTTCACCGTGGTGGTAAACGTCTGAGACCTGCATCACTTCTGGCTTTCCTCCCACATTAAACTGACATGTCATGATATAACTGGAATAAAGCGGGGTTAAACCCAACTCACTCACTCACTCCTTTACCTGATGAAAAACACTTTTAACTTAGTCTTTCCAAGCATTGATGGTTCTCCTTCATGTAAATAACATTTGTGAACAGTCAGTATAAACAAACTGTAGTCTATAAAGTCATTTTCAAAATAATCTTTCTTATATATATAACATAATGGCAACTTTGAAATGAGCTTTTCTAGATGATATCTTATCTTCACATCACGACTAGTACACTGTACGAGTAACACAAGCCTGGTTATACTATCATCTGTTATACCATTTAGACTTCTGTTGTAGATGTCATTGTCTTATTATATTTGTTTCAGAGCATGAAAGAAGAGATCAGTGGCTTGGAAGAACACGTGGGTCGTGACCTTGAGTCTCCCAACACCATCAGGAACTCCTTGTCTTCTGTATATGAAAAACTGAGGAAGATACAATTATAAACAGACTGGGGTCAAGCGTCATTCATATCCATCAGGATCTTTTTGTCTTCTGTATATGAAAAACTGAGGAAGATTCAATTATAAACAGACTGGGGTCAAGCGTCATTCACATCCATCAGGATCTTTTTGTCTTCTGTGGATGAAAAAAAGATGGACCAATAGATTCTTATTCTTGTTTCTTATTTTTTATAAGGCATTTAAGTGTTGAATATTTCGAACATCTTTTCTTAAATCCTTGATTGCTCAAATTAGGATTGTTGATTCATTCAACACAACACATAAGTTTGGGTTTTGACCAAGTGATAAGACCCGTGAAGATCCGGGGTAGAATAGGTCTTCAGCAACCCATGCTTGTCATAAAAGGCGACTATGCTTGTCATAAGAGGCAACTAACAGGATCAGGTGGTCAGGCTCGCTGCCTTGGTTGATGCATGTCATTGATCCCAATTGCGTGGATCGATGTTCATAATGTCAGTCACTGGATTGTCTGGTCCAGACTCCATTATTTACAGACTGTCGTCATAGATCCAAAACTGCAGAGTGCGGAGTTAAACAACAAACAAACAAACAAACCAAGTGGTAAATGTCAAATTAGTGATAGGCAGGAAGCTTGATCCATCATGATATCACAGTAATACTTTTCAAAGCCACATACGCTTAACTCCCTCACTACCTACTCATTTGATTGTCTGGTGGAAACTCATCTATTTGTGGCTTTAAACAAGAGTGAGTATGGTTTGAAGCCGCTTTTAGCAATATTCCAGCAACATCACGGCGGGGGACAACAGAAATGGGCTTCACACATTGTACCCATGTTGAGAATCAAACCCAGGTCTTCAGTGTGACGAGCGAACGCTTTAACAACTAGGCTACCCGAGTCCCCTGTTAAACACAAAGCAAAATTACCTACCTGTGATAACTGATAGATTTATCTGACTAGTACTTGGGGTATAATCTTGTTTCTTTCCATTTGTTTGTTTGTTGTTTATCGCCGCACTCAGCAGTATTCCAGCTATATGACAGCGGTCTGTAAAATAATCAAGTCTGGCCCAGACAATCCAGTGATTGACTTCATTGAGCATCAACCACTCAATTGGGATCGATGACATGTGTTTCTTTCCATGTTGGGTGGAGCAAGATAATTCAGAAAACATGTATTTGATACTAAAGGCCATATGTTCAATATGTCAATAAAATTGTTGTATCATAACTCACTAGCCAGAGTTTTTGTTACATCCTCAGCCGTTTTGCTGCTAGTAGGGATTCCAGGTTAGAATAAGTCCCTTAGCAGCCGACCCATAAAGATTCCGAGGTAGAATAGGTCTTCAGCAACCCATGCTTGCCGTAAAAGGTGACTATGCTTGTCTGGTTCTGACTCGATTATTCACAGACCGCCGTCATATAGCTGAAATATTGCTGAGTGCGGCATTAAACAACAAACCAACCAACCTTGGCAGCCAATGCTTGTCATAAGAGACAACAAAATGGATCTGGTGGCCAGGCACAGTTACTTTGTTGACAGCATGTCATTGTACCAGGATTGTCTGTTCTGGATTTCATTATTTACAAGGTGACGTCATACAGCAGGAATATTGTTACCATCCGAGACTCCCAGTTTCGTCACCAGAGACAGGTAAATTGGCACCAATGGTTGCCACCAGGGATAGCCAGGACAAGAACTTTTGCACCAGTGGCTGCATCCGGAGACCAGGGAGTTTGGCACCAGCGACAAGAACCTTGGCACCAGTCATTTATATTCCTGCTCAATGTATCAATATAAAATGTTCTTCCATGATTTGGTTGTAAGCAATCCATACACTATAATGACAGCCTTCACATCAAAAAAGGATACAATCATGTATGTGAGGAAAATAATAGCCTTAGGCTATACATGACATTACACGCGAGTTGACAATGAATAAATTTAAGTGTTGGGCATTTGATGTGAGGAATATGTTCTGAGCAAAGAAATGACAATCAAGGATTCAATCAGTCAGTACTTTATTCAGTATGAAGGCCATAGGCCCCTGAACAAACTGGAGTAGTGACACTGTACATAAATGTAAACATTGTTTAACAAGTATTTTCTTCTTTCATAATCATCATAAATAAATAAACATAATGAAAGGATTTGTTCTAGATAGTTTTTAATGTGTGCATATTTACATCAGTTATACATGTCTCAGGAAATTATTTCACTCTAATATCAAGAGAGATCACATATAAGCCAAAAATTATACTTTTCCTTGATCACATGAAGGTATCTATTTTGCCACCTACCTTCAAAATCTCTATACTGTAATAGTCCCCATCTAAACTTCACTCAATTGTTTCCAGCTTTAATTCACTAATTGCATGAAGGAACTTTTCTGATTCTAACAAACTTTTATATTCTCTATGAAGGTTAGATGTAGAACTATTAATACATGTAGATGAAAAATTAATAACACAATCCTTCAATATACTTGTTAAACATTTTATATCTCCAACTCTTTGTGACCTCCAAACAAAATGAAAACCATGAGAAAAAAGTAGGTGGTCTTCAAGCATTGATGATATTTAACAACGATATACAACACTACAAACAAGCAAAATGATGTAAATTGATTTTCCACCACATTCACTGTAAACAAGAGAATAGGTGTTTGTGGTCCAGTAAGAAGTTTATACAAGTATCTGGATTTTCCCAATACTCTCAGATCTATTGAACCCCTAAATTACAGATGCATGCTAAGAATCGGACTGATATGACAAAGAAAATACTAAGGGGCAGTAATACCGGTATATATTTTCCAGGTGTAGAAAGTAAATATTCTTATGTAATTAAGGATATTAGGAGACTAAACCTACCAGTGAAGACTCATTCCAGATCTGTATAAGTATTAAAAACCTCTGACTAAACAACCTGACTAAAGCTTGTCCTCCATAATGCTATACATCTTTAGTTTCCTTCTCTTCTGACGGCAACGTTAGACTGTTCCATGGTAACAGGAATTCTACACTTATAACTGCACAAAAATCTAGAATATTAATTGGATGCTGTAAACTGTGTACGTATCAGAAACCAGGATGACACCATCAGCAAACAACATTAATATTCCAGTGACCAGTGGACCCATCGTATATGTGGTACTGGACTTTCTGTAGCCTGTTTTCGAGAAATTAGCCAGGCTGAAGAAGACTAAGATGGTGAAGAACTGTATATATGTCAATATCTGTAGTTATCTGTGAATAACTGTATATATGTCAATATCTGTAGTTATCTGTGAAGAACTGTATATATGTCAATATCTGTAGTTATCTGTGAAGAACTGTATATATGTCAATATCTGTAGTTATCTGTGAAGAACTGTATATATGTCAATATCTGGTTATCTGTGAAGAACTGTATATATGTCAATATCTGTAGTTATCTGTGAAGAACTGTATATATGTCAATATCTAGTTATCTGTGAAGAACTGTATATATGTCAATATCTGTAGTTATCTGTGAAGAATTGTACATATGTCAATATCTGTAGTTATCTGTGAAGAACTGTATATATGTCAATATCTGTAGTTATCTGTGAAGAACTGGAAAACAGGAAATGACAATACATCAAATACCATGTAAATACATCAAATCCATAAAAAGAACATGCAAATAAAGCATATATACTACTACATACCTCTAATTTTAGAGAATGAGTTGACGTTTTGCTGAGGGGCCGTTTTAGCCTGCACCAATATTCCTACTATATCTGCTAGTGATTACTCGATATACCACTGTAATCGGGGTCCAAGATCCCGACCCCCATTCTATGAAAGAGCGTCATACAGATATTCATTGCTGATGTTCAACACATAACGTAATGATGGTAGTATATAGAACTTAAATATTTCACAGTGGCATGGGGCATGAATGTAGATCTATGTAACACTGATCTCAGACAATGATTCAAAATACATGCATTACAAAATAAGATATTTATTAGTGTAAATGAACCAAGTACAGTGTATTATTTTACAACTGGATGTTATAAATGTAGATTCTATTTATGGAAAAAAATGTTGTTATATTCTAGTCAAGAAAAAAACGTGGTCTGATTGCCAACCTACTCACATTATCGATCAATGACATCAAAATTTACAAAGCCGAACAAGCCTTGTAACAAAACCCATGTGAGACCAAGGCTGTAATTGGTTAATATATGATGATGATGATGATGATGATGATGATGAAAAACCCGGCCACCGCCGGCTCCCTGTATGCACCTTATGTACATTATGTTTGTTTATTTGTTGTTAAACGCCGCACTCAGCAATATTCCAGCCATATGACGGCAGTCTGTAAATAATCGAGTCTGGACCAGACAATCAGGTTATTGACATCATGAGCATCATGTGTACAACTATAGAGGTAATATATGTATATATGAGTTGAATCTCATTGCCATTTGTTTGTTTGTTTATTTGTTGTTAAATGCCGCACTCAGCAATATTCCAGCTATATGACGGCGGACTGTAAATAATCGAGTCTGGGCCAGACAATCCAGTTATTGACATCATGAGGTAATATATGTATATATCCACGCAAACGATCCACGCAATTGGGATACAATGACATGCATCAACCAAGTCAGCGCGTCTGACCACCCTATCCCGTTAGTCGCCTTTTACAACAAGCATAGTCGCCTTTTACGGCAAACATGGGTTGCTGAAGAAATATTCTACCCCGGAATCGTCACGGGTCGCCATAACATCTGTAACTAACTTATTCACAAATTGTAAGAATAGGACTCAGTCTTGTCTTGAACCACATGAAACAATTCCAGATGAAAAAGAAACATATATCTATTATCTACGTCCACAAAACAAGAGCCAAAATAATATTTATCACAACCATAACCAATCCAATAACAAGAGCGGTGTAGATGCAACATACAGAATTTTTCGCCAGGACTCGGGCTTCAGAATGGAGTCCGAGCTCTTTGTACCGTCTTGCTTCCCAAGCATATTTGTTGGCAAACATGCCAGGTACACATAAACATATCATGCTGAAGTAAGATGCAATGATGATGTGTTTTATTTTACGCCATGGTTTGGGCACAATTGTCGCTTTGGGTGGAATTTTAAGATGCACACCTCTTTCCGCTGTGACAACATACGGGTTAGATTCGTATGTTTGTCTTGATGTGTCATCTGCTTTTGGAGGCGTATCGCCTGCTGTCCTGGCTTCATCGTCTGTCATTTTTATCTGTACATCGTCATAGCTTGCAGTCATGTTGTATACACTCTCTTGAGATGGCTGAATTGAATGCTCTGGAGAGAAAAAATACTGAAATTTAATATACAAATATAAAAACCGCAGGATTATCTTTCACAACACTTGTGTTACAGAGATAAAAAGGAGAATTGTTTCATATATAACTTTCATTGAGAAAATATCCTAAAGTGAAAAATTATTTTCGTTAGCGTTTTTTCCCTTTTTACAATGTTTGTACGGTTCCACGTGCAGTCATCTGACATAAATGTATCGCTAGTAATACCTTCACTTTGATGTGTGAAGATATAGTGTCATACTCCTCGCTGTCGCAGTTTAGAAGCATATCATTACAAGTAAAACAAAACAATCAGTAAATAGCACTGAAAGGTTTTCTACTGCCATCAGAATTAGCGTTTATTATGTACAAACATGGGGAAAGTCCGGTCATGTGATATGCAAATTTGACTGGCATTTATGACTGACTAAACGGATCGTTATTGGTCAGTAAAGAAAAATATAGTATACTCCTATATGTAAGTAGAGAACACGAGCGTCATTCGCCATCTTGCCGGTTTGTTTACATTCGATATCAACAGCTGATCAAGGGGGATTTCTTTAAGATACGCTCATTGACATTTCTGGCCGTAGATTGATAAATAACACATTTCTACTCATTGTACAAGTCATCTAAATTCGATGAATGCCCCTTACTAATACTTAACGAAATATCGACAGTTTATTACGTGAGCTGGATAAAATTTACGAACGCCGAGCGGAAGTAGATTTTAGCGGGCAGAATCAAGCAAATCACCTGATTGGCTAAATATACGCAGTGCTCTAATTAAACGCAATTGGCGCGAAATTTGAGGAGTTGCTTCTGACAAAAAAAAATTGACAGCCTCATCTACAAAATGCAAACAGATAATTTCTTCAAGTGGTAAATATTTAATATAAATATATTTTTCCTATATTTTTGGTGTTCATGCCGTTGGCTCTTAGTAGGGTATTGAAGGAGGTGAAACTGGTGAAGTTGGTGCCAGTATTGGCTTGCCGTTTGAGGAGGCGGCTGATGACGTTAGGGTTTATCCTATGAATGGGAGGGCGTAGCGGAAGGGCACTGATTCGGGTTTAAGGGTCGCAGATCTCGGTGTGAGATGGAGTACAGAGGAGATGACTTTGTCGACGAGATCGGGTGGATAATTGAGGTGGGTGAAGACTTGGCGGAGGTGTTCGATCTCAGGTTCGAGGTCTGCAGAAGAAAGGTTGATGGCTCGTTTAGTGAGGGTGGAGATGATGCCAGTCTTAGTTCTAAGGGGATGGTTGGAGTTGAGGTGGATGAACTGGTCTGTGTGGATGGGCTTCCGGTCGACACTGGTTTGGATTCTGTTTGGTGGGCTTCTGGAGACAAGGGTAGTTGGTTGTTCTTTTCTATTTCGATGTAAACTGTACTCGGGGGGTGTTGTTGGTTAAGATGTTGTAGTAGCAGGTTCGGGTTTTGGTCTTTTTTAGGATGACAAAGGTGTTGTCAACTTCCCCGTACCAGCAAATAGGTTGGATCAGTGATGTGGTGAGGGCTTGCTGTTCGAAGTGGGTCATGTAGATTTCCTTTAGGATAGGAGGGAGTGGGGATACCATGGGTAGGCCGTGTATCTGTTGGTAGTACTTGTCCCCCCAGGTGAGAATAATTCCTACATACTAACATGTTATGGTATGTTGATGATTACATTCAAGTTTTAAACTATTCAAACTGTATTAATATTGTGTCTTTGATCACTCAAAACTATCATTTTGAACCCATGTGGGTTGCAGGTGTTGTTTTGACTCGCTTGATTCCCCCCACGACTGAAATCTACTTCCACACTGGATTCGTAACTTTTTTCCAGCTTACGAAATAATTTTGGTAAGGAAGAGACATGAATCAAATTGAGATGACTTGTAGGTACCCATGCATTATACCAGACACCAATCCGCCATGTTTGTTTGATGAAACTTTGTTTGACCAACCAGACCTCAAGAACCTGGTAATCCCCCCCAAAAGCTGGATCATCCCTTGCGAAGACATCCTCGAAATGTTTGAGTAGGTGAACTAATCGTGACTAGTTGTCCTGTGGCAAATGCTTGCATGAACGTGAATAGGTCCTTGAAATGCTCTGGTAGGTTAACATGTGTGTCATGACCTATTTGACCTGGTTGTTCTGTCTTGTTTGTTCCTGTCATCTCCTTCATCCAGAGGGACTTCCCTGATATTTACCTCTGATGCTTCACTACAATTCGACCCTTCTTTACCGTAATGTGGTGGTCTGTAGTGTTACGGAAGCAAATGACTGGCTTATTTCCCGGCGAATGAAGAATTCATGGTGATATAATGTCGGCCATTTCTAGAGTTGGTTCGGAGATATAGGTTTGTAAACTTTGCACCATGTAACCTGGTTACTGAATGGGGTGGTAGTAACGTACGCCGGGGTATCATGATGTGACATACATTAACTGGTTTACCTGAATCCCTTGAAACCATGTTCACTGTTGTTCCATTTATGGTTAGGATAGCATTTTTCATGTCAATTTCTGCACTTTTTTTCAGCAAGAAGTCAAAGCCCAGGATGATCTCATCTCCTATTGGAGACACATATACTGGCATTTGGAAATGCTTGTCTTGGCCCTGCAATGTGACTGGGTTGGTGAGAAAACCCTGCATCTTCAATTCTCGTCCAGCAGGATGTAAGGCGACATCATGGAATATTGGTCCTTCAACCAAGGAGCTGACTTTATGAATTTGTAGGATAAAAAATTCTTTCCTGGTGATTTCCCCATTATTCTCCATCTGTGCCATTATTAATTTTGCTGTGGAATGCCCGGTGCCAGGCACTGTGGTCAAATCTTGAATTTCACAAGAGTTCATGTTAATTTCATCTTCTGCCATGGTTTGATACAATTTTGATGTCCTAATTTGTTTATTAACAAAAGGAAAAAGCAATCTATAGCAAAACACGGCAAGTGAGTGATCCAAATTTAAAATTGTTGAGCAAATCTTGTGTTGTTTATATAATAATGACAAGATGAAAATTATGTTTTGCAAAATGTATCGCAAGTAGATCTATGATCCAAGCTTGAAATTGTTGAGCAAATCTTGTATATTGCAAATTTGCAATCCCAATCTTGACATAATGAATAACTCCTGTGTTGTTTTGTCACCACAGAATAATCAACATACTTCAATTATATTATACGATTAATTCACGTTGAATATACATCACCCGTTGAACCAAAAGTTGTAATATATTGATCTCACACAACTTCCACATACAACCAATCGATCGTATGCAAAGTATTAGTAAGGGTCACGAGGTCAACGGTTTTGTTGACGATTTCAACAGACTGTCAAAATTTGCCAAACACGTTAATTCGCGTGGCACATGAATTAAAAATGTTTAAGACATACGTTTAGTAACATATTTTATCAATAATTAAAATACCTGTCGTACAATAAATGGAAAATGTCTTCCAATCGTACGCCAAAATTTACACTTCGCCAACGGTCAAAACAATCAAAATGGCGGTCCGTTCAAAAGCAGACAACGTATTTTTATGGGGGTTTCGTCTAATGATTGTGTGATTGTAAGGCCCAATCCGTGTAGTCTATACGGGACTGCTTAGCTCGGATCTAGATCTAGAGATTTTACACAGGAACTCGTTATTGGTCAGTAAATAATAATACATATCCCCTATATATGTAAGTCTCTACGTATATATTAGGGGGTATATATTGTTATTTACTGACCAATAAAGAGTTCCTGTGGGATTTTACCTGTCAAAAGCTTCGATTGCAGAAACAGCGCTTCTCGGTTGCCGATACACATGCATCGGACACCAATCCGCCATGGATAACGAATGTAAACAAACGGGCAGGATAGGCCTACGTACATAGGGTTTGTATTTGTGTTTACTGACCATGAACGAATTCCTATGGGTCAAGATCGGTAAGTTAGTTGAATACACCGAAGCACTTGTTTGAGCATTTACAGACCATCGATATAAACCTGGGATACGACTGAACCTGAAACAGACGGCAGTAAGACTAGTAAGCACATACACCGTGACAAAAATGGCGGGACGTTCCAGGAACCATTACAAATAATGTTCAACAATATAATATATCAACTTACAGTTATGAAATGTACCGAGCTGTTATATATGTTCGTCGTCGGGACAACGTTTCCTTTATCTTATCGACATTCAAAAATACGTTTATATACAGACAGACACGGTATGACGCATCGTCTTTCGCAAGGGTTCAACTCCTTGCATGGATGTTCGCCCCCTATAATGTTCCGCTAGCCGCTGATGCATGCCCAAACAATGTACAGAGTACAGCACTAGCCTAGCTCCGCATTGACTGGCGCACCTTTCTACTATTATACGTCATCAGAATAACGTAAACAGGCTACTCACCTGTCAACTGAAAAGTGCTCTACAATATTACTCTAAAATGCTACTTTGTTAGATATTTATATGTTACCCCGAGAAGATTCCGTGTTTAACTGGTCAAGCAAGTTGTACTTGTCATAAGAGACGACTGAAACGATGGTCGCGCGATCAGGCTCGGTGACACGACTCGCTGGATTGTCTCCAGGCCTGTGTCATATTAGCCGAGAGCCGCGATGGGGTCCTTCAGGCAAGACATGACAGGACGTCACGTGATGGACCCCATCGCGGCTCTCGGCTATGTGTCTTATAGTTGAAACATTGCGTCAACAGTCTGGATGCCAGAGAGACATATAATATAGCAGTGTCCTTTTTCAAACCGGTTTAATATTTGCAGTTACACACCAGATAGGGAATTCTATATTCTACGTCTATATTAAAGCCGGATGTAGATCCAGTGCCGCACAACCTTCGTTTTTCTGATCTTAGGAAAATGTGCGTCAGTAAAAAAATCCCCGACATCCAGCGGGTTAACAGCAAACAAGCTACACGGGTTAGATCTATGTTTGCCCAAGGCATAAGAGAAATGTGAGATATTCAGTAAACACAATGGCCATGCTAGCCGTAAGAGGCGACTAACGGGATCGGGTGGTCAGGCTCGCTGACTTGGTTGATGCATGTCATCGTATCCCTATTGCGTGGATCGATGCTCATGATGCCAAGCATCGGTTGGTATACAGTCTTGTTTGTAGTCTTTGTCAATCTGAATCGTTATGCACAGGGGAGCACGGGTGGCCCAGTCGTCTAAGGCACCGCGATTCGCTGTGCAGAGTTGCGTCCCTTGGACACTCCAGAAACCTATGATTGTGTGTTCGAATCCCGGTTCGCCCTGATTATGTTTCTAGGTTTGTCAGCACCATACCCGTGCTTGTGGGTTTCACCAAAGTGGTAAACGTCTGAGACCCGCATCACTTCGGGCTTTCCTCCCACGTTAAGCTGACACGCCGCGATATAACTGGAATACTGTTAAAAGCGGCGTTAAACCCAACTCACTCACTCACTCACTTTATGCATAGAACTAAAAAGATATGAAACAGACTAGGCGGTCTCACTGGTGTCTTCTGTTTCTAGTTCACAACTACTTCAAATAGCAGTGGCCTGATTGTTAAAGGTGAAGGCTCTTGTCAATGTGATTATATTACTTCTGCACTTGTAGAATCCTGAGACTTGGCAGTTACTGCATCTTTTCATGTTCTACTGACTCGGGTCAAGGTCACATCAAGGCTTGAGTCCTAATATTTACTTGGGTCCTTTGTTATGGTATGTGATTTGGATAAATATTTATAACAACTGATAACCAATTTGTTTTGCGTGTACTCGATATACATGCAATTGATGAACAAATTCTGAAAGCAGAAAGTGATCTTCAAATCGGCCGTGCAGATTGCTTTGTTATTGTGATGGAGGTTTTAAATCACTGATCATAGTGAGTGAGTGAGTTGGGTTTTAACGCCGCTTTTAATAGTATGCCAGTTACATCACGGCGTGTCAGCTTAATGTGGGAGGAAAGCCCGAAGCGATGCAGGTCTCAGACGTTTACCACTTCGGTGAAACCCACGAGCACGGGTATGGTGCTGACAAACCTAGAAACATAATCGGGGCGAACCGGGATTCGAACCCACAATCATAGGTTTCTGGCGTGCCCACGGGACGCAACTCTGCACAGCGAATCGCGGCGCCTTAGACGACTGGGCCACCCGTGTCCCCCACTGACCATAAGTCCTCCCAAACTGAAAACTATACACAATGAGACCTGAAGTTCATATTTATCAAGTAAGCTAGAGGCAAGGTTGTGTTGTACGATTTGGGGAATCCTTGACAGTTGTTTTGTCTTCTGTCCATGCGTGATGTGCAAGGACCGTTTCATGCCATTGAAACGTGTCCTTTTTATAAACAAAACGGTTTGTACTGAGACCATAAATGAGACATAATACCCCATTCTAGCCTTATTATATACCGACACAAAGAAGGAACCCACGCCTTCCCTACCCCCGAAGGACATGTTTTATTCATCTAAGTAGGTAGGCATCGTTGTCCAGTGAAGTTCCCGTCATAGCTTCGTGATATAATGAGCCAGATACTGATGCCTCCCATCATCAGTATTCCTATGACAACCATCCAGCTTCAACTGAAGAACATGTCTGTTTTATCCAAGTAGGCCAGTTCAGTGAAGATCCGCCTCAAAGCCTCGTGACAGACAATGAACCAGAAGCAACTATAGATACCTGGCATAGCTTCTGGCTAGAATATCAGCCCCACCAAGAAATGTCCTTTTAGACTTTAGCCCCCATACATATTTGGTATCATTCAGTCGGACAATGTGAAGCAGGTGTTATACAGGTGGTGAGACATCTGAGGTTTACCATCAGAGGCAAGCAGGCTGGCACCAGTGGTTACCAACAGAGGCAAGTAGTCTGGCACCAGTGGTTACTATCAGAGGCAGGTAGTTTGGCACCAGTGGTTACCAACAGAGGCAAGTAATTTGGCACCAGTGGTTACCAACAGAGGCAAGTAGTCTGGCACCGGTGGTTACCATCAGAGGCAAGTAGTCTGGCACCAGTGGTTACCAACAGAGGCAAGTAGTTTGGCACCAGTGGTTACCAACAGAGGCAAGTAGTCTGGCCCCGGTGGTTACCATCAGAGGCAAGTAGTCTGGCACCAGTGGTTACCATCAGAGGCAAGTAGTCTGGCACCGGTGGTTACCATCAGAGGCAAGTAGTCTGGCACCTGTGGTTACCAACAGAGGCAGGTAGTTTGGCACCAGTGGTTACCAACAGAGGCAAGTAGTCTGGCACCAGTGGTTACCAACAGAGGCAAGTAGTCTGGCCCCGGTGGTTACCATCAGAGGCAAGTAGTCTGGCACCAGTGGTTACCAACAGAGGCAAGTAGTCTGGCACCAGTGGTTACCAACAGAGGCAGGTAGTTTGGCACCAGTGGTTACCAACAGAGGCAAGTAGTTTGGCACCAGTGGTTACCAACAGAGGCAAGTAGTCTGGCACCTGTGGTTACCATCAGAGGCAAGTAGTTTGGCACCAGTGGTTTACTTTAGTGACAAGGGATTTGGCACCTGTGATTCACCATTAGAGGCAATCAGTTTGGCACCAGTCAACATATTAAGCCAGCCATACACTATATAATGGCTGTGAAGCCCATTTCTGGTGTCCCCCGCCGTGATATTGCTGGAATATTGCTAAAAGCGGCGTAAAACCTCACTCACTCACTCACTCACTCACTCACTATATAATGGCAGACTTCACCTGAAAGGAAATATTGGTATATGTAAGGGAAATATAACAGTCTTATCTTTTGCCCTTTGCTGGCCTTGGACTGTGTATCACTTAGTTAATATCACTTAATAATGAAGAGATTTAACCATTCGGCATTTCATTTAAGGTATATATTCCGAACAAAGGATTCAGGATCAAGGATTCCAGATGAAAACGAAATAGCAATCAGTTGCTCCCGTAGTGTGTGTAATTATGAAAAGGTTCGGAAGAGAGAAGGAAAGATTATGACTGGTGGGTTGTCAGCGTTACTTGCGTCAATATGGAATCTTTACTACATTAAGCGAGCACGGCGTGATATTACATTTTATTACTATTTTATATAGCAGCATTAACCAATCTCAGTGTAACTGCCAACATTATACGAGTACAACCATGTGCCCTACCGTGCGTTTTGGTCACCTCGTTATATTCGGTGTGTGCGCGCGCTCATGCATACACCACACATACACACACCCTATTATTTCGATCCGACACTGAGAATGGTCATCTATACTGAACCGCAAAAGAAACGTCACCCCAAGTAACATTGCATGAAAAGTTGTCATGTACAAAATTTCTAAAATTTAACATTACCTAGTCCGGAAAAATGAAATTTGATGATAAAAAAACAAATGCACATGCGTTCCCCCAATTCTTGCCCTATAAAAATCCACCCAGATCGGAAAACATTCATTCGTTATTGAATTGCTACCACTTGCCAAGATTGACAAGAAATCCGCGACACCAAGCCCTTGGACGATTGCAAGCTGGAAAAACCGCCCGGCAAGTATAGCCAATGCATTTCAAGTCCACGTAAGGATCATATACAGGCTCCAGCAACGGTGCCAGACCACCAACACTACAGATAACCAACCGACCACGCAGTGGAAGACCAAGGGTCACCACCCGACGTCAGGATCGTCAGATTGTGCGACAGCATCTTCAAGATCGCGTTGTTAATGCTGCGGAAACTGCTCGACAGACCATGATGACACACCAGCGACACATTAGTGCGGACACCGTGCGTCGACGATTGACGAGCAGACACCCCCACTGTCACAGGCCACACCGAGGACCCATTCTGACACCACATCATCGCCGGGACCGTCTTTAGTGGGCAGGACAGCACCAGCTTTGGCGCCACCAGCAGTGAAGAAGAGTCCTCTTCTCAGACGAGAGCCATTACTGTATCTCAACAGCAGATGGCAGAGAGAGGGGGTCTGGCGACGCCGCGGGGAACGTTATTCGGATGCTTGTGTTGTTGAGAGAGACTCTTGGGGTGGTCCGATAATCATGGTATGGGGTGGAATTGGTCTTGCACAGGGAGTCGGCCCTGTGGTCTTCCAGAACATCGGTTCAGGGAGAGGTAATGGTGTCACAGCAGCTCGGTACATTGATCTAGTCTTGAGACCACGCGCCATACCTCATTTGGCACGTCGCCGCAACTACGAGTTTCAGCATGATAACGCCCGTGCCCACACTGCGAGAGCAACAAGAGACTTCCTCCAGTAGAATGGCATCAGAACCATGCAGTGGTCTGCCCTCAGTCCCGATTTAAATCCCATTGAGCACCTGTGGGACGAGATTCAAAGACAGCTGAATGACGTCCGACCAAGGCCGACAACTGCAGCTGAACTGCGTCAGGTGTTCCTCAGAGTATGGGCTCAAGTGCCTATGGCTTTCATCAACCGCCTCATCCATTCAATGTATCGACGTTGCACGGCAGTCATCAATGCACATGGCGGACACACGAGATACTGACTTGTGATGCCATTTTCTGAGAGACTAGTGTTGTGTTTCACTTTCAGAACATTTGACACTTTAATTTCAACCTTGATGATCAGTTTTGCCAAGTTTTATCTTTTTAATATGTCTCAAAGTATGTTTACAGTGTTTGGAAAAATAAGGTTTATCATATACTGATGGAAATAAATAAGGGATCGCATAGTGTGTTTGGTCAATGAGTCCGAATGGTGTTATTTGTTTGTGGCCATTTTTCGGAAGTACATGGTCAACATCTCCGAAACGCAGACTATCACCTATAGAAAGACATGCAGTGCACGTGTTTCAGTAGTTTTGCATGGCACAATGGGGTATAAAGTCTTCTACTCTAAGACCGATCTCATTGACATCAACTGCGTGAAACATGCCAAGACAGCACATGTGTTTGAAGGAGAAATGGCAGGCAATCGGGATGGTGAGGTCAGGCCAGTCACTGCGAGAAGTTGCAAGACACTTTCAGAAGTCCATCAGTGTCCTCTCACGACTGTAGAACCTCTACAGGCAGACCGGCGATGTTGTAATGAGACGTGGGCGTGAGCGACCAAAGAAAACTACAGCTCGTCAAGTTCGTCAGATTCGGCTCATTTGTTTGTGGGATCGCTTTAAACCTGTCCCAAAAGTGAATGCCGAGTTCACAGCTGTCACACATCTACGGTTAAGTGATCGCACAGTTCGTAACAGGCTGCGTTCAGCGGGTCTACAAAGTCGCCGTCCCGTGGTAGGAATCAGGGTGACTCAAGAACACAAACGGCGAAGGTTACAGCGGGCAAGGCAGCATGGAGCCAGACAGCTGCTTCGTTGGCGATACACCATGTTCAGCGATGAGTCTCTTTTCAATATGGACAATGCATATAGTCGGATACGTTTGGAGACGACGTAATGAACGATACCAAGCATGCACTGTCAAACAGCATGACAGATACGGAGGTGGATCAGTGATGGTCTGGGGTGGAATCACCTATGACTACCGAACACATTTGATTCGTGTGGATGGTCGTCTATAACTGGTGTTCGCTACCGTGACGAAGTGTTACGCCTAGTGGTGCTTCCGTTCGCTAACAGAGTTGGGCGGTTGTTCGAGTTTCAGCAGGACAATCCAAGGCCACATACTGCTCGTGTTTCAGCCGATTTTTATAGGCAGAACCAGGTCGCTGTGCTTCCGTAGCCGGCTAAAAGTCCAGACGTTAACCCGATAGAACATTTATCGGTCGTCATCTAACATCTTGGTCGTCGGGTGCGAGATCGCATTAATCAACCTCGTAATCTGGACGAGATGTTTGACTGTTTAAGACACGAGTGGCATAATGTCCCGAGGGCTACAATCCTGGCATTAATTCGGAGTATGCCAAGACGTTGTCAGGCTGTTGTGAGAGCTCGTGGTGGTCACACGTCATACTGAAGAACTGAGATTAAGTCATTATTTACCATGCAGCTTTCATTTGATCAAGTGTTGTATTAAAATCTTAGGTGTGCACCTTCTATGCGATCCTTTATTTTATTCCATCAGTGTATGTCTATCCATGGTAAACCTTTCTTTTGCGGTTCAGTATACAAAAAGACATATATATATTTGTTTGAAGGAAATTTAGTTTATTATAACGAACAAAGTATCTACACATAAAATAACAATGGCAAAAACGCAGTGAAAGGTTTTACGTCAAACAAAAATATCAAGAAAAGCTCATCATCGCATTATACAATGATGATGATCTTAATAACATGCACAAGTAAAACAAGTAAAATACATATACAAGTGAGTGAGTTTGGTTTAACGCCGCTTTAAAAACAGTATTCCAGTTATATCACGGCGTGTCAGCTCAATATGGGAGGGAAACCCGAAAGGATGCAGGTCTCAAACCTTTACCACTTTGGTGAAGCCCACGAGTACAACTATGGTACCTTGAAATGTCTCGGGGCGAAGCCGGATTCGAACCTACAATCATAGGTTCGTGGCGTGCGCAAGGGATGCAACTCTGCACAGCGAACTGCGGAGCTACCCTAACCCTAACCCCAAACCCAATCCATACCCAAAAGGAACCAGTGCAAATCTGGGACTAACAAGAATAATGCATTTATAATATATCCATACCTATTACCTTCATCGCAATAATTAGTCAGGCGGGCATATAATCCCTTAATGAACTTGAAATAACAATTGTCCAATCCAGAGTCCTTTCAAACATCGTTCGGGTGGTCAGGCTCGCTGACTTCAATTGCGTGGATCTGTGCTCATGATTTCAGTCACTGGATAGTCTGGTCAAGACTCGATTATTTTACAGACAGCCATATAGCTGGAATATAGCTGAGTGCGGCGTTAAACAACAATAAAACAATAAAACATCCGTGATAAGGAAATAACAATGATCATGTTGCGATTTATCGAGCACTTCCGGTAGATCGATTGCGCACTCGGTTTTATAGCCGTCTATAAAATGTATAATGCGGGTTTTACGCCTCATTCATACAGCAGCCATTTGTGTCTATGGCAGGTATGCGAGTTCTTATTCGTTCATTCTCGTAATCCAAACAACAAGAAACACAGTACCAAAAATCCCAATCAGGAGAGATCCAATGATAACGCTTGTGTAGATACAACATACAGCATTTTTCGCGAGGACTCTGGCCTCAGACCGGAGTCCCAGATCTTTGTACCTTTTGGCTTCCCATGCATATTTGTTGGCAAATGCGGCGGGTACACAGCAACACAACAGGCTCAAGTAAGATGCAATGATGATGTGTTTTATTTTACCCCATGGCTTGGGCACAAGAGACTCTTTGGGTAGAATTTTAAGATGCACACCTCTTTCCGCTATGACAACATACGGGTTAGGTTCGGCTGTTTGTACTGACGTGTCGTCTGCTTTTGAAGAAGTGTCGTCTGCTGTCTTGGCACCTTCGTCTTCCATTTTTATCTGTACATCGTCATTCCCCAGATTTGCAGACATGTCGTATACACTCTCTTAAGATGGGAAATGTTCTGGAAAAATAAAAGTATCGAATGAATTAAGTTCGTAGATACTCAAATTCATTTTTAGAAGACAAGCCATATCGCAGTATTATCTTTCAAATTTGTTATTATGGAGAAGAAAAATAGACAAAAAAACACAAAATATTCAAAATCTCCCTCGTACAAAGTGACTGAAATTGGTTAACGCTGCTATATAAATTTGAACACCTGGTATTATCACTCTTTGATATTATTTGTATACCTGGTGTCATCACTAGTTATTTACAATATAGTCGGAGTCGTACAAAGCTTATAGGAGATATTTCTTATGATTATGGTTGGTTGGTTTGTTGATTTACGCCGCACTCAGCAATATTCACGCTATAAGAACGCGGCCTGTAAATAATCCAATCTGGACCAGACAATCCAGTGATTAATATCATGAGCATCGATCCACGCAATTGGGATCGATGACATGCATCAACTATGATTATGGAAAGGATTCTTTCACTTTTATTTGCTTGGTTAAAATATTAAACGTGATGGATCACACAGTGTCGGATTAATTGAGTAGTAGGTTCCATTTGGACGCAAATAACGCGCGAACATACTGACGCACTGTTGAGAAACCAAGAGTCACAATAGCGAAGAATAGCTACGATTCAAACCAACGTCCAGCGGATCCTGCCACAGCAAAAGGACGCAACTCTTCAAAGCCGAATAGTGTTACCTTGGAGTACACACCCAACCACGTTCCCGTAAACATTTGAAGTGTTGATTCCGATCATGGAAGTGTGGCTCACGCTGGGGTTCCTGTTCAGCTTGAACCTCACTTCCCAAATGTCGCACAACAAACGGGCGACACAAGCAATAACAGTTGCATGCTCAGAATTGAACGTGTTGTATACAAGTAGGAGGGTATTGTTATCACGAACAACAAATATTGTTATTTATTATTACACGATGATTTAATGTGAGCCACATAGCCATAGCATCAGTTCAGTCTTTTGGAATCTAATATTGTCTTTGACGCATCAGTGAGTGAGTATGGTTTTACGCCGCCTTTGACAATATTCCAACTATATCACAGCTGGGGACACCAGAAAATGGCTTCACAAACCCACCGACCCTTGAAGCATATGTTACCAAAATGATGTCCGAAGATTTGCCTAGCTTTTAGTTTGTTCAGGTGAACATTTGACATGCCTGTGCGTGTGTTTCTTACGGTGTTCGATACACTCGCCCTTTCGCGAACACAAAGTATTATTACTTTGTATCTTCACTTGTTGTTTATAATATAGTCGGAATCGTACGATGGACTCTGCTTTTAGAAGATATTTCTTATGTTTGTGGAAAGGCTTTTGTCGCTTTTATTGGCTTGCTTAACATAGCACTTGATGTTAAAACACGTGGGTTCTTGTCATCCATTTACGATTCGATTTCAAAATACACTCTTCAAAAAAAGAAACCCACAGGTAGTATGTTGTTCATTGAGCGCAACCTTGTGGCCTTATGTGACATGACAATGAACAGTTTTCACTGCCTTTGGACCACGACGACATGTGACTATCATATTTGTATCTATGATATTAAATAAAATTAGATGTACAATAAATTTACTAAAAATCTACCTCGCGGTTTTTGGTGGGTTTTTTTAAGAGTGTAGTATTTTATACCTTTGGTCAAGGGAGCAAGCGCTGAATATGTTGTGGAAAACGGAACTACAAACTTATTTTCCTACTGAAGAAATCAACATTTTATATTTGTTGATATTGATTTAAATCTGGTTTAGACCCGAGACGATCCTGGGTAGAATAGGTCTTTTTGGTATAACGCGGTCGGGGATCGAACCCCGGACCTTCCGCTCCCCGGGCGGACGCTCTACCATTAGACCAGGGAGGCGGTACCAATCGACATAAAACCTGGGATATAGCTGAATACGGCTTAAACATGGAACAAACTTGAAATAAAACCTGGTAGGCAGATAAACTTGTGAAAGAAATAGCAGGAACTCTTACATAAAATGTTCTACAATATGTACATAATACAAAAGTGCAAAGATGAGCTGTATAATTTACTCAACCGGTTTCAAGAGTATATATCTATCTCAACTTACTGTTATGAAATGTACCAAGCTGTTATATGTGTTCGTCGTCGGTACAGGGCTTTCTGTTTATTTCATCTACACATTAACGAGAGGTTTATATACATACAATTACGGTATCCACGCCTAATGATGGCTTGCGCAAGGGTTCAACTCCTTGCATCGAGGTTCGCCCCCTTATGTTCTCCACGGCGTTGTATGCATGCACAAGCAATGTGGAGAGTATAGCACTATATCCGCGTTGACTCCGCGAAGCTTACTGTAGTTAATTCTGACGTCACTGGGCCGCTCCCGTCTGATTCCGATGTAATCAGGCCGGTCCAGTGTTTTCTGAGAAATGGTAACTCTAATTGTTCTATAGAATCAAGAATTTTTATTGTACAGAACACCCTCGTAGGGCAGGGTACAGACTATCTACACATGGAATAAATATAATTATATACATTATGTACATTATACAAAAAAGATCTTACATATTATTTTCATCCACAGTATATAAACATTAATGTATATCATAAGGTGTCTGGCAGCGTACACTTAGTGTAGATATTGTATTGATAAGTCAAAATAGTTCTATATGTATATGTTAACCCCAGGGGATTCCGGGTGAGACTTACATGTAGTATCCGTCAATCTTTACTGTGTGATCAAGTTTATTTCAGCATCGGCACGGGGGCAAGGGGGCACAGGTGGTTCAGTCGTCTAAGGCGCCGCGATTCGCTGTGCAGAGTTGCGTCCCTTGGGCACGCCAGAAACCTATGATTGTGGGTTCGAATCCCGGTTCGCCCCGTTTGTTTCTAGGTTTGTCAGCACCGTGCCCGTGCTCGTGGGTTTCACCGAAGACCTGCATCACTTCGGGCTTTCCTCCATTAAGCTGACACGCCGCGATATAACTGGAATACTGTTGAAAGCGGCGTTAACCCAACTCACTCACTCACTCACTCAGCATCGGCCCATGGTGCAGTTGTTTAAAGAAGCCTATACATTGCCAGATTTCTTATCAATAAATTAAATTCATGTTTAGTAGAATATTTCGAGTATTTGCTTGAGATGCAGAGGTCACGTAATACAAAATACATGCAAGTTTTACCAGCACGCAGAAAATGATACTCATCCTCCACAGAGCATAATTTGCATACATTAAAAAGGGTTTTTTGTCTTTAGAAACATTTGTAAATCCACTAATTTTAGTTTATGCGAGATACATCTAAACCTAGATAAAGCTAGAAATAAGTTTCATATAATGCTATTGGAATACAGTTGCAGTTCAAGTTAGCCCAGGGGTGGTCGGGTAGCCTAGTGGTTAAAGCGTTCGCTCGTCACGCCGAAGACCCGGGTTCGATTCCCGACATGGGTACAATGTGTGAAGCCCATTTCTGGTGTCCCCCGCCGTGATATTCTGGAATATTGCTAAAAGCGGCGTAAAACCATACTCACCAACTCACTCACTGAAGCTAGCCTACTGATATATCATGCCGCAGTTTAACATGAATACCCCGCTCAGACACAGTATACTGACTCCGTGCCGACCAGTCCTTGTTTTAGCCCCTAAATGCCGAGCGACAGGCAGGGAAACAACAAGTAGCATCTTTTAACGTCTTTTGATATGACGCTGCCGAGGATCGAACCCTGGACCTTCGCTTTCTGGGCAGACGGGTTCCTTTCTGGTTTCCTACTGTAAAGCGGGCAACTCTATCCTACATAAATTATATTGTTTGTTTGTTGTTTTACATCGCACTCAGCATCATTCCAGCTATATGACGGCGGTCTGTAAATAATCGAGTCAGGACCAGACAATCCAGTGATTGACATCATGAGCATCAATCCAGGCAGTTGGGATACGATGATATACATCAACCAAGTCAGCGAGCCCGACCACCCGATCCCGTTAGTCGCCTCTTACGACAAGCATAGTCGCTCATAATATATAATTTGGGATGTGTCCCAATATGCCAAATGTAATTTGTAATGCAGTACAACAGCACCCCGCCGTCAGCACCTAGGTGCTACCCCTACGCCCATGGCCATTCGCGCTCATACATGTACACCCACCGTGTTATCCTATAGGGAAAATGTTACCTTAGGAACATACTGCGGATGTGTGACAGAGATGTCAAGTCTGGCTGGTGACAAATGCACTATGCAAACCAGAACGTACACGCACAAGTTGATATTTAGCTACTACGACAACTGATACTACAACTACTACTACTACGACTACTGATATTACTAATAATAATAACAACAACAACAACAACAACAACAACGGGGACAAGCCACAACAACAACGGGGACAAGCCTGACATAAAGTTTGTTTGTTTGTTGTTTAACTCAGCAATACTCCAGCTATATGACGGCGGTCTGTAAATAATCGAGTCTGGGCCAGACAATCCAGTGATTAATATCATGAGCATCAATCCAGGCAGTTGGGATATGATGACATGTATCAACCAATCCGTTAGTCGCCTCTTACGGCAAGCATAAAGGGCATTTAGTTATCAGCACTAAATGCTGATAAGAAAGCATTTACAATGTATATTGTCAATACACTGATTCGACCAAACATCGCCAAACCCCTCTAATTAACATAATTTTCAATTTTGATGTCAAAATATTATTCCAATGGTTTATATCCAGCTTAATAGATCAGGACCGCCTCCGTGGTCTAGTGGTAGAGCGTCCGCCCGAAGAGCGGAAGGTCCGGGGTTCGATCCCCGGCCGCGTCATACCAAAAGACGTTAAAAGATGGTACTTGTTGTTACCCTGTCTGGCGCCTGGCATTAAGGGGCTAAAACAAGGACTTGGTCGGCTCGGGGTCAGTATACTGTGTCTGAGTGGGGTTTTCATGTTAAACTGTGGCATGGTTTCTCAGTGGGCTAGCACTATAAATCGGCATCAGTCCTGTCTAGTACAAGCAGCCACACAAACACACACACGTGCATGCACGTCGCTATGTAAGTGCAATAATCTTGGACACGACGTTAAATCCCATTAAATCGGGTGGTTAGGCTGGGTCGCTCACTATACATTGTCTGTTCCAGACTCGATTATTTACAGGCCGCCATCACACCGCAGCTCCACTATCTGCACCAAGGCATTGGGGAAATATGAATGCGAAAATAGGTCAGAACAGGAGTAGACAGGATCACATTCCTCCACAAGTCAACCATTAAACATTACGAAAGCTTTACTGCGGCCTTTCATGCAGGACCCATGATGCAATATCCCTATTATGCAGTACCCGTGATTAAAAGATATCTGTGACGTCATTCTATTGTTTGAAAACTCCATTATTTTTCGGGAATGGAGAGTTGTGTGTCAACTCTACATTATCTTAAACCAACATTTGAATTAATTTCCACTTGGAATAGACGGAACGTATGGAATAATTTCAATTTCTTTCCGAAAACGTGTCGCCAGCATTCGAACCCAGGTCGTCAGATTTGAGCACGTGTACATGTAATTGTCAACTTCAGCTACGTCGGCCCATGAAGGAATGGTGTGAAATTAACTATTAAATATTTTCATAATTTTGCATGATGCTTAAAAGCTCAAAATAATATGTATACATTTTGTGTTAGAGTGAGTGAGTGAGTATGGTTTTACGCCGCTTTTTGCAATTTTCCAGCAATATCACGGCGGGGGACACCAGAAATAGGCTTCACACATTGTACCCATGTCGGGAATCGAACCCGGGTCTTCGGCGTGACGAGCGAACGCTTTAACCACTAGGCTACCCGACCGCCCCTTTTGTGTTAGAGCAGGTTAATGTTCATATTCATAGCAATTAGATAAACCTTTGACGAGAAAAAAACTAATAAGGTAATATATAAATCATTGTTCGGGGCTCTATATTTCCTATTATTCCCGTCAGCATGTATTCACAATGTGAATACCAGTTTTGGACTCCATGAAATCATAAAGTGCCGTGCAACGTGCAAGGTAAATGTTAGCTCGCGACTGAGTTTGGTGCACGTTCAACAGCGACAGAGAACGCATTCCTCGTGCATCACGCAAGGGCGACTCACGCAGTATTAATACAGACAACAAAGGGTTCATGTTTTTTTTTCAAATATTTTCCTCAACTGACTAATTTTGTCAAAGTGTAAAAGTAGGGGTGAGTTTTAAGTCGAGGAATATCCTCATTACCCCCCCCCCCCCCCCCGTGATGGAATACCCCTGTAACGCTGTACCCCTGATGCAATACCCCTGTCATGGTGTAACCCTGTAACGCCGTACATGTGATGGAATACCCGTCATGGTGTAGCCCTGTAACGCAGTACATGTGATGGAATACCCCTGTCATGGTGTAACCCTGTAACGCCGTACATGTGATGGAATACCCGTCATGGTGTAACCCTGTAACGCCGTACATGTGATGGAATACCCCTGTCATGGTGTAACCCTGTAACGCAGTACATGTGATGGAATACCCGTCATGGTGTACCCCTGTAACGCAGTACCCGTGATGCAATACCCCTGTAACGCAGTACCCGTGATGCAATACCCCTGTCATGGTAAACCCCTGTAAAGCAGTACCCCTGATGCAATACCCCTGTTATGGTGTAACCCTGTAACGCAGTACATGTGATGGAATACCCGTCATGGTGTACCCCTGTAAAGCAGTACTCGTGATGGAATACCCGTCATGGTGTACCCCTGTAGTGCAGTACCCGTGATGCAATACCCCTGTCATGGTGTACCCCTGTAACTCAGTACCCGTGATGCAGTACCCCTGTAACTCAGTACCCGTGATGGAATACCCCTGTCATGGTGTAACCCTGTAGTGCAGTACCCGTGATGCAATACCCCTGTCATGGTGTACCCCTGTAAAGCAGTACATGTGATGGAATACCCCTGTCATGGTGTACCCCTGTAAAGCAGTACATGTGATGGAATACCCGTGTCTTGGTGTAACCCTGTAGTGCAGTACCCGTGATGCAATACCCCTGTCATGGTGTACCCCTGTAAAGCAGTACATGTGATGGAATACCCCTGTCATGGTGTACCCCTGTAAAGCAGTACATGTGATGGAATACCCCTGTCATGGTGTACCCCTGTAAAGCAGTACATGTGATGGAATACCCCTGTCATGGTGTACCCCTGTAAAGCAGTACATGTGATGCAATACCCCTGTCATGGTGTACCCCTGTAAAGCAGTACATGTGATGGAATACCCCGGTCATGGTGTACCCCTGTAAAGCAGTACATGTGATGGAATACCCCTGTCATGGTGTACCCCTGTAAAGCAGTACATGTGATGGAATACCCCTGTCATGGTGTACCCCTGTAAAGCAGTACATGTGATGGAATACCCGTGTCATGGTGTACCCCTGTAGTGCAGTACCCGTGATGCAATACCCCTGTCATGGTGTACCCCTGTAACTCAGTACCCATGATGCAATACCCGTCATGGTGTACCCCTGTAACGCAGTACCCATGATGCAATACCCCTGTCATGGTGTACCCTTGTAATGCAGTACCCGTGATGCAATACCCCTGTCATGGTGTACCCCTGTAAAGCAGTACATGTGATGGAATACCCGTGTCATGGTGTAACCCTGTAGTGCAGTACCCGTGATGCAATACCCCTGTCATGGTGTACCCCTGTAACGCAGTACCCGTGATGCAATACCCCTGTCATGGTGTACCCTTGTAATGCAGTACCTATGATGCAATACCCCTGTCATGGTGTAACCCTGTAACGCATTACATGTGATGGAATACCCCTGTCATGGTGTACCCCTGTAAAGCAGTACATGTGATGGAATACCCGTGTCATGGTGTAACCCTGTAGTGCAGTACCCGTGATGCAATACCCCTGTCATGGTGTACCCTTGTAACTCAGTACCCATGATGCAATACCCGTCATGGTGTACCCCTGTAACGCAGTACCCGTGATGCAATACCCCTGTCATGGTGTACCCTTGTAATGCAGTACCTATGATGCAATACCCCTGTCATGGTGTACCCCTGTAAAGCAGTACATGTGATGGAATACCCCTGTCATGGTGTACCCCTGTAAAGCAGTACATGTGATGGAATACCCCTGTCATGGTGTACCCCTGTAGTGCAGTACATGTGATGCAATACCCCTGTCATGGTGTACCCCTGTAGTGCAGTACCCATGATGCAATACCCCTGTCATGGTGTACCCCTGTAACTCAGTACCCATGATGCAATACCCCTGTCATGGTGTACCCTTGTAACTCAGTACCCATGATGCAATACCCGTCATGGTGTACCCCTGTAACGCAGTACCCGTGATGCAATACCCCTGTCATGGTGTACCCTTGTAATGCAGTACCTATGATGCAATACCCCTGTCATGGTGTACCCCTGTAAAGCAGTACATGTGATGGAATACCCCTGTCATGGTGTACCCCTGTAAAGCAGTACATGTGATGGAATACCCCTGTCATGGTGTACCCCTGTAAAGCAGTACATGTGATGGAATACCCCTGTCATGGTGTACCCCTGTAAAGCAGTACATGTGATGGAATACCCCTGTCATGGTGTACCCCTGTAAAGCAGTACATGTGATGGAATACCCCTGTCATGGTGTACCCCTGTAAAGCAGTACATGTGATGGAATACCCCGGTCATGGTGTACCCCTGTAGTGCAGTACCCGTGATGCAATACCCCCGTCATGGTGTACCCCTGTAACTCAGTACCCGTGATGCAATACCCGTGTCATGGTGTACCCCTGTAAAGCAGTACATGTGATGGAATACCCCTGTCATGGTGTACCCCTGTAACGCAGTACATGTGATGGAATACCCCTGTCATGGTGTACCCCTGTAACGCAGTACATGTGATGGAATACCCCTGTCATGGTGTACCCCTGTAACTCAGTACTCGTGATGCAATACCCCTGTCATGGTGTACCCCTGTAATGCAGTACCCGTGATGCAATACCCCTGTCATGGTAAACCCCTGTAATGCAGTACCCGTGATGGAATACCCCTGTCATGGTGTGCCCCTGTAACGCAGTACATGTGATCCACTATGTTGCTGTAGACCTGTGATCCACCCTGTTGCAGTAGCCATGCATGTGACCCACCCTGTTGCAGTAGCCCTGTGATCCACCCTGCTGCAGTAGCCCCATGATCCACCCTGTTGCTGTAGCCCTGTGATCCACCCTGCTGCTGTAGCCCGATGATCCACCCTCTTGCCGTAGCCCCGTGATCCACCCTGTTGCCGTAGCCCTGTGATCCACCCTGTTGCCGTAGCTCCGTGATCCACCCTGTTGCTGTAGCCCTGTGATCCACCCTGTTGCCATAGCCCTGTGATCCACCCTGCTGCAGTAGCCCCATGATCCACCCTGTTGCCGTAGCCCTGTGATCCACCCTGTTGCTGTAGCCCTGTGATCCACCCTGTTGCTGTAGCCCCGTGATCCATCCTGCTGCAGTAGCCCCATGATCCACCCTGTTGCCGTAGCCCTGTGATCCACCCTGTTGCAGTAGCCCTGTGATCCCACCCTGTTGCCATAGCCCTGTGATCCACCCTGCTGCAGTAGCCCCATGATCCACCCTGTTGCCGTAGCCCTGTGATCCACCCTGTTGCTGTAGCCCTGTGATCCACCCTGTTGCTGTAGCCCTGTGATCCATCCTGCTGCAGTAGCCCCATGATCCACCCTGTTGCCGTAGCCCTGTGATCCACCCTGTTGCAGTAGCCCTGTGATCCCACCCTGTTGCTGTAGCCCTGTGATCCACCCTGTTGTAGTAGCCCTGTGATCCACCCTGTTGCAGTAGCCCTGTGATCCACCCTGTTGCAGTAGCCCTGTGATCCACCCTGCTGCTGTAGCCCTGTGATCCACCCTGCTGCAGTAGCCCCATGATCCACCCTGTTGCCGTAGCCCTGTGATCCACCCTGTTGCTGTAGCCCTGTGATCCACCCTGTTGCAGTAGCCCTGTGATCCCACCTTGTTGCCGTAGCCCTGTGATCCACCCTGTTGCCGTAGCCCTGTGATCCACCCTGTTGCAGTAGCCCTGTGATCCACCCTGTTGCAGTAGCCCCATGATCCACCCTGTTGCCGTAGCCCTGTGATCCACCCTGTTGCTGTAGCCCTGTGATCCACCCTGTTGCTGTAGCCCTGTGATCCATCCTGCTGCAGTAGCCCCATGATCCACCCTGTTGCCGTAGCCCTGTGATCCACCCTGTTGCAGTAGCCCTGTGATCCCACCCTGTTGCTGTAGCCCTGTGATCCACCCTGTTGTAGTAGCCCTGTGATCCACCCTGTTGCAGTAGCCCTGTGATCCACCCTGTTGCAGTAGCCCTGTGATCCACCCTGCTGCTGTAGCCCTGTGATCCACCCTGCTGCAGTAGCCCCATGATCCACCCTGTTGCCGTAGCCCTGTGATCCACCCTGTTGCTGTAGCCCTGTGATCCACCCTGTTGCAGTAGCCCTGTGATCCCACCCTGTTGCCGTAGCCCCGTGATCCACCCTGTTGCAGTAGCCCTGTAATCCACCCTGTTGCCATAGCCCTGTGATCCACCCTGTTGCCGTAGCCCTGTGATCCACCCTGCTGCAGTAGCCCCATGATCCCATCCACCCTGTTGCCGTAGCCCCGTGATCCACCCTGTTGCAGTAGCCCTGTGATCCCACCCTGTTGCAGTAGCCCTGTGATCCACCCTGTTGCAGTAGCCCCATGATCCACCCTGTTGCAGTAGCCCCATGATCCACCCTGTTGCAGTAGCCCCATGATCCACCCTGTTGCCGTAGCCCCATGATCCATCCTGTTGCACAAAGGAAGCATAAATAATAATCTAAGAGTGGAAGGTCAGTGGTTCAATCATCTTAAAGATGCAAAAAGAATGTACTTGTTGTTACCCTGCCTGGAGCTTGGCGTTAAGGGGGAAAACAAGGACTGGTTGCCTTGCAGTCAGTATACTGTGTCCGGGTAGGGTTTCTGTAATGTTGATATGGAATAAAGACATCTGTGTTGCTTGTAACACTCAATTTATTCTGGGTTCTTTTGGTACATTGCATTGGCCTTACAACATGGCGGGGGCGGTCGGGTAGCCTAGTGGTTAAAGCGTTGGCTCGTCACACCGAAGACCCGGGTTTGATTCCCGACATGGTTACAATGTGTGAAGCCCATTTCTGGTGTCCCCCCCCCCGTGATATTGCCAGAATATTGCTAAAAGCGGCGTAAAATCATATTCACTCACTACAACATGGAGGCCACATGTCTCATGAATTAAGTCATATTATGACATCATATTCCTACAGCAATAATGATGATGTATTAGGGGATCGCATATTGACCTATGACCTGCGACCTATGACATGACATCAATACTATTGTAAACACTACATCTCTCCTTATCTGTAGATAATCACTTTCTATATGCTGGTAAACATGTGACCTGTGACCTGTGGCCTGCAACCTATGACATGACTAGTGACATCAATACTATTGTAAACACTGTAGTATCCATGCGGTATGACACAACCCCATCAATACCCAATATATTCACTGGAACAAAGACTGGCAGAAAAGGTAGAAATCAGCTATTCGTGCATATGATACCTAGTACAATGTACAGTAAACTACGTTTATAACGAACACACTTATAACAAACTGACTGGTATGACGATTTTTATTTTTTTTGTTCCGGCAACTGCTGTATCTATGCTGTACATATGCTTATAATGAACTACGGTTATAACGAACTTAAAATGTGGCCCCTTTGAGTTCGTTATAACCGTAATTCGTTATAAACATAATTCGTTATAACCGTAGTTTACTGTAGTACTAAAAGTTTAGCACTGATAGTCAGCAAAGTGTGACAAAAAAGGTGAACAATCTGTCACTAAAAAGGCAACAGATGACTCAAATATGAATCAAAATGGTGTCTGTAAACAAGCAGCCTTGAGACTTGGGCCACGAAGGTCATAACAATTGACTTGCCCACCTCGTACAAGTGGACATGTTTCAGATTCCCAAAAAACTGTGACTTGTAACTTCCAAATTCAACACAGCTCCATACCTCCACAAACTACAATAAGAGGTATCGATATGATTAAAATCATACCGAGAACAAAACTAATATAAATACACATGGCAGCATTTCTAGCTAACTTCTTGGTTTCACTGAGCAGCCCCAGGTCTCTGTATCTCAGTGCTTCCCAAGCTAAGTGATTTGCAACAGCTCCTGTCAGGAAACAGCACAAGTAGCTGCAGTATGAGACAATGATCAACTGCTTGAGGCTAGTCCAAGGATGGGGCACGAGCTCTTTTGGGTGAGCCTTCCTGACAAGGAATGGCACAGTGATTGTCGATTCTTTGCTGTGATTCTTAGATGTATTTTTACAGGCATCATCGATAACAAAGGTGGAGTATTCTGGTCGTTGTTCCTCCTGTCCAGGGGAGGCCTCTATGTACGAGGAGACTACAGTATCCTTGTCCATTGGATCAGTAGTTCGTGGACATGGAACACATTTATCTGAAAGTAAACAGGTGAAAGTGGTGATATTTGGTTATTTTGTTAAATACCATGTTTATCTCACTGGTGAGAGAGTTTGATTTTACGCGGCTTTTAACAGTATTCCAGTTATATTGTGGCGTGTCAGTTTTATGTGGGAGGAAAGCCCGAAGTGATGCAGGTCTCAGACGTTTACCACTTTGGTAAAACCAACGAGCACGAGTATGGTGCTGACAAACCTAGAAACATGGTCGGGGCGAACCGGGATTCGAACCCACAATCACAGCTTTCTGGCATGCCCAAGGGATGCAACTCTGCACAGCGAATGGCGGCGCCTTAGACGACTGGGCCACTCATGCCCCCTTGTCTTACTGGTTATTTAAAAATCATGAGCAGGGCATTAATTATAATGTATTTTCTACCTAGGGCCTCTTCCACAAAGCTATCTTCCTGCTACAACTGTTGTTTGGCAAGGGTCTTGTCACTTTTATTTAATTTGACTGAAAACTTATTTTTGGTATTGTAGTGGTATTACCTCTGCCAACAATGGTACAATTAAACATGCTCTAATGACAGTTTACTGTAAGTAAATTAGTGAGTGGGTATGGTTTTACGCCGCTTTTAGCAATATTCCAGCAATATCACGGCGGGGGACACCAGAAATGGGCTTCACACATTGTACCCATGTCGGGAATCAAACCGGGGTCTTCGGCGTGACGAGCGAACACTTTAACCACTAGGCTACCCGACCGCCCCGTGAGTAAATGATCAAAATGCGATTAGCAATAAATAATAAATTGTTCATTTCCTCAAGCTAAAATTTTAGGTTTTGCTTGTGTGATTCTTAGGGCTGCAATGAATACACTATGTGGCGAATATGATTCGTATCATGAATATGGGATATTAAAAAACGAATATTAATTTATGAATACAATAACAAGTCAGCAGTTTATGTATTATTTGTCATATTCAGTGAAACAATAACATAAATTATTTGACATCGTTTGTTCATTATTAATATATTTATATACTGATCTTATCTAGGTACTAGTATCTGCTCAAATGCAACAATGACCAGTGACCACAATACTGTTAAATTAAATATCATAAGAGTGTTGTTTTGGAAGAAATCTATGTATATAATAGGGTGCAGGCTAAAACAGCACCTCAGCAAAACGTCACTGATTTCTCTGGCGAAAACAGCACCGCATTTGGCGAAAAACTGCTATGTGACGGGCGAAAACAACCTCTATTTTTAATAATGATAAGATTTTTGTAGTAATATATATGGTTTATTTAAATGGTATTTGATGTATTTACATGTTATTGGATGAATATGATATGTGATGTATTTAAACGGACAGGTAAGAAGTCTGAAGGTAAGAAGGTATGAATAAAAGTTAAAATACAATATTCGTTATGTTACAACATTGCGGTTATTCTGAGAATTTATACAATAGCATTATGTAGTTTATTTTATTATAATTTGTACCTCGAAGTCCAATGTCCTCGGCTCTTTGGGGCGCAACAGTTCCCGGGTTCAGTTCGCCATGCGAATGAGGTTTGAGTGGTTTTGGCGTCCACCAGCCTGGTCAGGGTCGACGATAGAGTCTCTGTTGAGCATTTTCAACGATACTGGCGCCCGATTTGTATATGTTTTAAACAGCTTGTTCCTTTACCTAAAACATAATAGTTCAATTACTCTGCTGTAACAATAAACTATTCAACATGTAATTGACAGCTAATTGTAAATTACCAAGAACAACAAGAGTTTGCCACCAAAGTGGCTATATCCCCCGCCCCTGTTGCAGAATTTATGACATAATTAAATCTAAACAAACCCTAACCTTTTTTAACCGAGGTGGAACTTGTCATGGAAATTGTAAAAAAAAGATGAGTTTGGAACCTAAGTCTATCTTGTTGCCATGGAAACATAAAAAATAAATATTTCTAAAATTTCTCAATAGCAAAAGGCGCCAGTTCAGCATGTACCTGGCATACCTGCAAAGTTTGATGGAAAAATATTGAACGGTTTATGAGTTATGCTCTGGAAACGAACCCTACCCTCACAGAACCTAAGTCCATCTTGTTGCCATGGAAACGTAAAAAATAAAAATTTCCAAAAATTCTCAATAGCAAAAGGCACCAGTTCAGCATGTACCTGACAGACCTGCAAAGTTTGATGAAAAAATATTGAACGGTTTATGAGTTATGCTCTGGAAACGAAACGTGACGGACGGACGGAGCCCGTTTCTATATCCCCCGCCAACTTCGTTGGGCGGGGGATAATTACACCAATCAGTTATAACAACAATATTAATACCTCAACTTGGACTTGAATTGCTGTCAACACTGTGCTGGTACCTGGATTGGTACTCTCATTTCTTTTGCATCTTCTGATTGGAAA